CCCACCCCCCACCCCCCCGGCACAGAAGCGAAGCGCCCTGGACTTCTAATTTGTTTGGAAAATTATAAGTTTAAAAGTATGCTTCTATTGCGATCAAATTTTCCATTTTGTAGCGTAGGGGAAAAAAATTATTTCTTGAGTTCTTATGATTTCCAGTGATTTCTATCCATTTCTATTACGGAAAATAAGTTTTTATGTGTTCATTGCACACCAGTAAGAACCATTGAAAATATTTAGAAATGAAGAAAAATCATGAGAAATCAAAAGTGGTCACTAAAAATATTGCGCACTGGGAAAAAAGAAAATCAGTAAAAATCAACAGAAATCAGTATTTTATGTTTAACTGTATAATTTGAGAGTTTCTGTGATTTCTAACAGTTTCTACTGACTTTTCGTGGTTCTCTGTAATCTATAATCAACTTTCAGTTGTTATCCACATCATTAATGCTTGATAGTGATTTTCAGTGATTTCTATTAGTGAAAATCAGTTTGTTCCGTAGAGAGAGATTTATGTAAGTGCAAAAGCAACAATAAATAGAGTTGCGCTAATTTCATGGTCTCGTTTATTTACACTAGTCTATGCTGTTGTTACAAAAAGTTTCAAGACAATTTCACAAAGATAAACGCTACACGTTTCACAATTTTAGTGTGTAACAAAAAAGCACAATGTTAGTATAACATAACAATCAAGAGGAAAGTGTAGGTAGCAAGCATCAAATTGGCTCTCTCATACTGAGGTGCTGAGGGTTCCAAATATGCACTTTCCACCTTGGTAACAATATATATATATATAGAAGAAAAGAAATCGACTGACGTATATGAATATTTAATTAAAAGAATCGACTATTACCAACAGAATGCTTTGTTTTCTTCATTTCTCTATACCCACATATTTCGAGTTAAGTGGGCTTCTATTACATTGGGAAGTTATAAAGTCCAGGCTGGATCTCTATTTCGGATGAGCTTCTATTCTGGTTGGGGGAGGGGGGGGGGGGGTTACGCCTGGATGAGGATCAGAGCCGCAACTAATAAAAGTGCCAGGTGCCACAGTATTGGTTATGGCAGAATGGCAACAATGAAAATTAAATAGTATTGAATATTGAATGAAGATCCAATTGTTTATTCAATGATCAGAAATAGTTGTGAATAAGAAGAATTCCATAAGCACGTAGCTGACACGAGTTCGAACGATTGTAAGGAACAGCCAAGTTGAAAGAAAAAGGTAGTATATAATTGATCAAAAAGAGGGTTTTCTTCTTTTTGTTTTTGTCGTCATGTTTTGTAACATCTTTGTTGTAAAAAGTCCTGGTATATAGGTTGAAAATGATCGATTAAAATCGAAAATTCCGATATAATATGTCAAGAAAATAAAAAATTTTGCATTAAAATAATTCTACATTCATTTATTTATTAAAAGTGGGTTTGTTTGTATGACAACCAGGATCCTAATTGCGAGCTGAAAACGACCATTTTTCGACACTCTTGTGCGCCTAAACGCGGTTTCAGCCAAAACAAGTGTAAATGCATTAAAAAAAGACAAAGAGTGGTGATCTTTTTGTACTTGAAAACCCTATTCATGATCCCGTCACGGATCACGACTATGAAAAAAGGATACGCATATAACATACAATGTTGAATACTTGGCTGAGTGATTTGCATGTTTTAGAAGTAGAATATGATTTCAACATTAATTTCGAACAATTAATGGAGAATTCTGTTGATTTCCACAAGAATAGTAGAATTCTTTAACAATAACACCTTGCGAATTACAAGTTATGATTCTTGATTTCTTTTTCATAAGCAAACGAAACATCATTTAAAAAGTTTTTTCCACCTGAATGCACTATTAAATCCTTACTCTATGAAAAAAAGGTTATGTATCACCAAACATAACTTTTTAGAAACACGTTAGGGCTCAGCCCAACCACCCAACAAATCCTGGTTACGCCACTAAATTTCAGCTGTACTCATTTTCGATTTTTTTTCTTTTTAACACAATAAAATGCAATATCAGTAAGTCAAGCTCTCAATTATTATTTATTTGAGTAATAATTCGAGCAAAAACGTATTGTTTTGCTCTCATTATAACTAGAACAATCATGCCCAAAAGTTATTTTGCCTGTATTGTTGTACACTGGCGACTTCATAATACTTGGATATTCATTGCTGAACATATGGTCCAATAGGAGAATTCTTTCTTTTTAATACTTCTTCTCTCCCTTTAATTTTTAGAAAGTTTCCAAATTTTTTCAGCTACAATTGTGTTTTTAATAAAATAAAAGAGATCTAAAGACGGAAGAAAGCTGAAAGATAAAAAAAAACGTATGGTTCAGTATTTCCCGCTGTTTTTTGCTTCACACATCTCTGAACCCATCAATATTATTGCATCATATTTTCTGTTTGAAATAGATCTACTATTTTTTAGAATGGCTAATTCAATTGAGACTGATTCTTCAAAATCTGCTGTATCGCACGAGCACGGTGCTCACACATTTTATAATAATTCGCAGAGTCATAGTTTGGGTCAACGCAATGAAAGTAAAATTTTCTATATGCGAAATTTCAACAATTGGATCAAGAGTACACTAATCAGTATGTAATATTTTCTAGATTTCTCTAGAGTATTTTATTATCATTTATGTTCTAGATGATTACTTAGCACGTATTCGAAACGAACAACCTGAGCGAAGTAATAAAATTCATGTATTCGATATGGGCTGTGGTAAAGGTAGATAATGATTAAATTTTTCTTTCAATTAATTGAATATTTTTATATTGAAATAATTTTAGGTGGTGATCAGCTTAAATGGCACGTTGGTCGTGTCAATTCTGTTACTTTTGCTGGTCAGCTGAAAAAGAAATTTAAAAAAACGCATGTATTTGATTATCAATTTCTAGATCTTGCTGAAAATTCGGTAAAAGAATGTGAACAACGTTATCGAGAGCGACAAAAATATTGCAATTATAAAGCAAACTTCTTTCCACTTGACTGTACTGAAGTATGTTTTAATTAATGTTTTCCCAAATGTTTTTCTTTTGACGTACATTCGATATACTAGGAACTTATTCGAGACAAAATGGATGCCAGTGAACCATGCTTTGATCTCGTCAGTACACAATTTGTACTTCATTATTCATTCGATAAATTGAAGTCAGCCGATCGATTCTTACGTAATGCTGCTGAATTTTTACGTGTAGGTGGTTATTTTATTGGTACTACTGTCAATTCATGTGAATTGGTGTATGTTTTTATTTCTTTTAACAAAGAAGTTCAACAAATGATATAAGAAAATATTTTTGTTTTAGTGAACGTTGTCGTAATTCACCTGGTCAAAGTATTTCTAACGATGTATTTAGTATCACTTTCGACCCGTCTGTGGATCTGAGTGAAAAAAGCACCGAATCTATTCCACTCTTTGGAGTTAAATATCATTTTACTCTTGATAAAGTTGTGGATTGTCCTGAATATCTTGTCTATTTTCCTTTACTCGAAAAGTATATTCAATATTTTACATTTGAATCACTGTTACTATATTTTATTTTCATAGCTTAGCAAAAAAACATGGTTTGAAGTTTGTGGAACGACAAACATTTAAAGAATTTTCCGATGCAAATCAAGGCACTCAAGAAAGTCGTTGTCTCCTAGAGAAAATGAAAGCTTTAGAGGTAGAAAAAGAATTAATAGAGAGAATTCATTATTAAAATAAAGAAATAATTTAGTATTATGAACTTCCGACAGACAATCCACATCAACAACGAAGACCACCAATAGATCATACGCGGTATGCTCATGCCGAAAAATACATCAATGATGCTAATATACAGCATCCGAATTCTGTTAGAAGCTGTGTAAGTATGTTATTGTATTTATTTGACAATTAATGATTTCTTTATGTCTGTAGAGAACTCTATCTAAAGAAGAATGGGACATAGCAAGTACGTTATCATTTTCATCATTGAAAGTTTTATTATATTAGTTCTATTTTAGGTCTTTATATTACATTTGCTTTTCAAAAAACACATCACGTCAAATATGATGATTGTAATGTCGCGGAACAATGATTGTATCGGTGAATGGATCTTGAATATTATTCTTTCTCATTTGTTTTCTTGTTCATTTCGTTTAATCTAATTGTTGTTTATTATTACTACTATTCTACTCGTAACCATTATTTTTCTAATGGCAGTATGAAATAAAAATGACATATGTAAATTCATTCAAATGAATAGCTTTTCAAAAATCAATAACTCATATCATCTTGTATATGACCATCAATATATAAATAATAACTTGCAAGAGTCTGAGATTATTTTAAAAGTATCAAACTATAATTAAGATATATTCTATTGGTTAATATTTCTCTTGATGATAGTTCAATGTTTATATCATCGATAATATAAGAATAGAAGATAGAATTAAAAATAGCTTCGAATATGACTTTTGATTGTTCGAAAATTATTCAAATCTGTCGATTAAATTTTTTCTTTTTGATTCCTCGAATTTAGAAACATCGAGAAAGATAATACGCCGTTCTCTATAGTAAAATACTCACTTGAATCGATCTTATCTTTTGAATAAATCCAAATGAAAATAGTTTCTACATGCATTTCTATCATTAATTACCTATTTTCAATATTAACCAATTTCTTCATATTATTGATGATATTTATTGCTCTCTTTGGATTGGTAAATTTCGCTGCTTAGATTTTTTTTTCTTATTTCTTTCTGCGTCAAAATGACTTTTTCTCGTCCATTCCATACAAGTCCATAGTTAAAAGTGTACACATATCACCTCTATACATCTATGTGTAGTACAAGAAAGGAAAGGAAAGAAAAGAAACTAACAATCTGTTTCTGTTTTTTTGTTTCTAAGATTATCATCTAAAATTCTTCTAGTTCAACAATCAAATTCGAAATCATCCATGACTCGTTCGAAACGTCTTACGAATACTAAACGCCAAACTGTTCGTCGAAAACCTACATATTTATCTGTGCCATTAAATGTAAATACTAATACCAAAGGTGGTCAAGTATTAGCTGTTGGCGAAAATGGTATGACACAATTAGGTCTAAAGAGTTCCATTGATCAACGAAAAAATCCTCAACCTGTACTTATTCCTGAACCTATTATACAAATTGCCGCTGGTCCTTTGCATACAGTCTGTTTAACAAATCAAAACAATATTTATACATTTGGTTGTAATGATGAACATGCTTTGGGTCGTCCCGATGATAACAATGATGAGAACGATGATGATGAAGATCATGGTAATATTGATCCGTTTGGAGAAGTTGATTTAAGTCAAGTAATGAATGCAGATGATGAAAAAATCACACAAATTGTTGCTGGCGATAGTCATACATTAATTTTATCCAATATTGGTAAGGTTTATGGTAGGTTTTATCGATATTTTGAATTATACCATGTACTATTTGATTTTGTTTTTCGATTGTTTCACGCTGGGGCACATTTCGTTCGAGTTCAAATGGAATTTATGGTCTAGTTTGCAAACGTAAAATGGCACAATGTCCAGTTGAAATTTCTTTACCAGAAAAAATTGTAAAAATAGCAAGTGGCAATGATTTTGTATTGTTTCTTAGTGAAACAGGACAAGTTTATTCATGTGGAAACGGAGAAACAGGCCAATTAGGTCGACTAAATCGATATGTATCTGAGGATGGTCGACGCGGAGGAATTGGTAAGTTTTTATGTTTTATATATATATGCCTTTGTTTCCGTTGCTAATATAAAAGAAATTAATGTTTAGAACGATTAATTACACCTGCACCTATTCTTTATAATCGATCGTCAATCAAGGAAAAAAAATTATTTTTCGAAGATATATTTACGGGTGCCCATCATTATTTTTTAAAAGTGCAAGACCAATCTTATATACTTGCTGGTGGACTGAATAATTTCCATCAAATTGGTATGAAATTTTATTTCAATTTTAAAAGCAGTTCATCAACAAATTATTGTTTCTTGCATCTTAGGTTTATCATCGACAGAATCTATCTTTTTTCCAGTACATATTCCATCACTAGACGGTTACAAATGGAAAAAATTTGCTGGTGGTCTTCATCATACAATTGGTCTTACTGTTGATGGTGAATTTTCTCATGAATCTTTCTTGTTTATTTTTTCCTATACATTTTTTTATAGGTAAAGTTTACGCAATGGGACGTTGCCATGAAGGTCAATTGGGTATAGAAGGCTTAACCACTCATCTTGATAAACCAACACTTATTCCAAATATTCCAAAAGCAGTTGATATAGCATGTGGAAATCATGTATCGTTTATAATTGATGAGAAAGGCAAAGTCTATTCGTTTGGTACTGGAACATCCCTTCAACATGGACATGGTGAAGATGATGTTAAAATTCCACGGTTGATGTCATCAAAATATATGGACATAAAAAAAATAGCCAATATTACTGTTGGTGCTCAACATACAATTTTTCTCACTAAAGAATAATATTCTTTTCTCCTTCCTTTTCTTTTCTTTACAATAAACAAAAAAAATTCAGAGAAATAAAGAATCAAAAGTCGTTATTTTGCACATCACCAATGAATTGGTGTTTGACTCTAAGAATACACTAACGCGCACACACACACACACACCGATGTTAATGACACCGAGAGAAAAATATTTACAAAAAAATTAATTTCTTTCCTTTTGTGTTCTTCAAAGATGCCTTTTCATATGAAGTGTTAAATGGTCAGAACGAGCGAAAGCTCGATCACAAAATTTGCACGCAAATGGTTTGACACCAGTATGTTTCCTGAAGAGAAAAAATAAATAGTTATAAATAATAGTATTCTTTCTTATTCCCAATAAAATGATTTACCGATAATGTCGTGTTAATTCATCGGAACGTGCAAATTTCCAGCCACATGCTGGCCATTGGCATGAATATGGTTTAATACCTGTATGTGTTCGTTCATGAGCACGTAAATGAGAGGATTTATTATATATTTTTCCACATCCAGGATGATTGCATACATGAATCATAGCGGTTGTGCGTTGTACATCTCTGTCAGTAGTTTCAGTTAATGTTAAAGATGTTTTTCGTTTTGCTTTTGTTCCATTGCATGCATTTGCTGCTGAACGTTTTCGACCTTTTGTTACAATGGAAGGAGACCAAATATCATTGATACTTGACTGATTAAAGCCATCGATAGGAGATGTTAACGAATAGTCAGGCATTGATGATGACGATGATGATGATGATTTAATATTATCAATAGGTAATGATATAGGAATGAGTAATGATGATGGATATGAATCAGACGATGTGTTTGAAAGTGGTTTTTCATCATATAATTGATGTCCAAAATCCGTGGAATAATCCGATGAATATTGTATAGGTTCTGATTTAATCATATCTATATTATTATTATTCTGATTACTACTATTACTACTACTACTACTACTACTACAATTATTAGTAGTCATTGAATTTGAACAAGTTAATGCTGTATTTGCTATTCTATTATTGTATCGACAATAACATATTGGTAGACGTTGTTGTTTTTGCATGAAATTTTCGTAAGTTGTCGTAGCAGATAATTCTTCATTCATTAATTCGTTATCCAATGTAAGATGTTTTCGACAACGAAGTAACGCATTAGGTGAGTGAATCAATGGACTTGAACGCATTTTTGAACCTGGATGTTGATATGGAACTTCACTGGGTGTTGTTGTTGAATATAAATAATGATGGTGAGGATGATGATGGTGAGGAGGAGGAGGAGGAGGAGGAGGCAGGTGATGATGATGGTGTTGTTGATGATGATGCATTTGAAATGGAACAAGATGAGCAGGCGGGCTTAAATCCGAGGAACAAGTCGATGATGCCGATGAAAAAGACATGCCCGATGGTGTTTTACTCAACTCATCATTGATATTTTGAGAACTATGTATATCGAATTGAGTTAGATGGTCAACAACACTGAAATTTTTAAGACGAGCTGCTTGTTCATAGACATTTGGCGTTTCAAGTATAAGTGATGGGTCAGCACGAAGATGAGATGTTTCACGCCACAATCGTTCTAATTCAGGTGAATACTATTAAAATAAAATAGATTATTATTGACATTGATGCAGTAAAAATCCATATGAAATGTTTTTGAAAATAATAAAGCTCTTAAAATATTTTTCTTCTCTTGAAGTATTTTACTTACTGTATTAGGTGTTTTTGGACTGGTTGGAAAGCCAAGACCGTAATCTTCGCCGTTCTCAATCATGATGCGCTTTAAATGAATTTTCTTCATCGTACCAATACTATCTTATTTTTCTCTTCTTCTTTTTTCTCTTCTTGTTTGCTAAGTAACTGGTTGGTTCACTAATGTATTATTGAACCAATCGTTAAATTGTCCGGCGTTATGCGAGCTTGTGTACTTATAGCTCTATATGTCGATTTCCGATAGTAAACATACACATAGACACACAGTCTTAAATGAATTTTTTCCTAAACAAGTAAAATTAAATAGTAAGTATTATAAAATAGAAGTAATATCGTATATAAATATTATACCTACGCACGTCCTTTTTTAATAGAGAAAGATTAAACTAAACTATGATTTCTAAGGAACATCAAAATACAAAAGTTGGACAAACGTAATATTTCTCTGTATCTATCAATGTTCGTCATGCATTACCTACGCGCCTCTAATAAAACGACTGACACATATATGAAGTCACTTACATATTTTTCTCTTGCGCGTCGTACACTTTCGTCACCTGAAAATCGATTGTCGTTTGAGTAACAGCAACACGGATCCTTTCTGTTCTGCACAGAAAGATACATTCATACGCATACACTCGAAAGACTGTTTTTTTTTTTTAATTTTTTTTCTTTCATTTGTTTTTTCTTGTTCACCTTTTTTTGCTTCACCATGTGCAAGTTGCGGCAAGGCTGCGATGATAGTTGAGTTGATCCACAATGTGATTCGTAAATCTAATATTTGTTTGACATTAGTAACATTTTTTTTTTCTGTTCTTAGACATTTTCTTTCAAAACGAGAGAAAAAATTCACTAGTCTAATTGATTTTGAAAGTTATTGTTCTTCTTTTTTGGAATGTTGGTTTGTGTAAACAAGCTTCAAGAATCCTTACGAATATAGAAATGCATCTCCAGATTTATTGTTTTCGTTTTCTAGCATGAAGTTTCTTGTTTTTTTTTTAGCTTCAAAAAATTGCACTTCTGTTGTTTTTTTTTACTATACTTCCCTCGTATTATTGTAAACTATTTTTTTTTATATTTTGAATTATTGATGTACGATCAGGAGAAATTGAAAAAAGTGAAAAGAAAAAAAAAGAAGAACGAGCTAAAAAGAACTATTCTCTTAAAGGACATGTTCGGAAGTTTAAAGGTGAATTAAAACAATGTGATGAATATAGCAAAAAGAAAAAGACATTTAAGCCTTATTAGTACATCTTTCTTCAGCTCGTTGGTTATCTAATGAGAGTGAAGATCAACATCCTGAGTATACATTGATGGCACACCCAACGATTAACTCATCGTGCTCGTTGTTCAATCTAACGCGTTGACCACGTGTCAATAGGATTGATACATTGAACGGAAAGAAGCATGTACATGCGTACAATACATCATCAAATTAAATAAGCAAGATATCTTTTGTGTATAGTATATTTCGTATATATGTATGAAATGAAAACGATGAACAAATATATCATTTAATCATGTTCAATCTTACATTCTTGTTTTTTCTTCTGCTGTTTTCATAAGACAAAATTTTTTTTTTTTATCACTTGTTGTCGGCACAGGAAATCGCGAATGTTTAGATAATTGAAAGAAAATTATATCGCAGATTGTTGTCGCGCGCACATATTCAAAAGTCGATAAAAGAACGTCTGTGCATATTGACGTAAAGATGAACTGACCAAATACTAATAAAAAAATTCTCTTTCTCAATTCGATTCGGTACACTTGCATAAATGCCGCTATGTATATTTATTGATTATCGGAAATCGATCATCAATAATAGTCAACATAATCAGCAACCCATCCATACAGCTAGATCAATCGCTATTCGATGAATCAATATGTAAGAAAAAACAAGATGCGCAAAAAAGAGGAAAAAATGATATATTCAATCAAGCGTAGAACGAACGCTCGGTTATGGGGTCACATTCGTTAAAACCAAAAAAAAAGAAGAATTGAACGAAACATGGGTGGAGTTGTTCGGCAGGCTCTTGAAAAATTATGTGTTGTAATAACGATCGTTCTTATTTACGAGAACGCACTGGTTTTTTATCAGCATCTTTTTCCGTATTGGTGGTCTCATGGATTTTATAGACAATTTTTCTTTAATTTAATCGTTGGACATTGGCTAGTGATTAATACAGTTATGCATTATTACTTCGGAATTACAAAATCTCCGGGTTTTGTTGCTGATTTAAAAATAGACAAATCAACTCAAGACGCATTAGGTTATACGAAATGTTTGAAATGTGGTGTGATGAAACCGCCGCGAGCACATCATTGTAAAGTTTGTCAAAAATGTGTTGTTCGTTATGATCATCATTGTAAGTTTATTCTAGGAGAGAATGTCTTTTTTTTCTAAATCACTTCAAAGGTTTCGAGAAATATTTAATCTTTTACATTTGATTGTAGAAGAACGATTACAAAATCAAATGTTTTTCATCGTGAACAACCATTAGATTTTGTTTTGATCGATTTGTGTCACTGAATCGTATTCGTTCTAATAGTTTTATCTAGAATGAACATTTTCATTAGCTTACTCTTTTCATTATGCAACATCGAATATATTGTGTTTGCAAATTTTCTTTTTTTGCGTAGGCCCGTGGATTAACAATTGCGTTGGATATAAAAATCATGTACATTTTCTTTTATTTTGTGTTTATATGGCGATGATTGCAGCTTATGCTACTATTGTTGGACAACAAGAATTTCAACTAGTAATGTTTCATGATCAGATACTTTTCCGTCTATGCGATCCTATTTTACGACCCTATGATATAACTATGGCTATTATAGAACACGAAACTATAGGTCCTATTACTGGTGTATTGACCCTCTTTCTTTTTCTTGCTAATCTTGTCGCAATGGGCCTTGTCTTGACTTTAACTATATGGCAAATGAGTCTTATAACTAAAGGCCAAACATGTGTTGAAGAAAAAATCGATAGATCCATCGTGATTAATCCTGCACAACAAAAACAAGAACGCCCGTATGATTTAGGATGTAAACTAAATTGGACCACATTTTTTGAAACTAATAGGATTAGTGCACTTTTAATTCGATTATTAATTCCTTTTCCGTTTCAACCCACACACGATGGTACACAATGGATATCAAAATATAATAAATAGATGAAGATTTTTTGCACTTTTTTTTATTCTAGTTTAGTTATTGATGAAAAGAAAAATAAAATAAAATATCCTGCCTGTTAAAATATTGGAAAATATGTAAAAATAAGTGATAATAAAAAGATCAAGTAAGCGTCAAACGAATAAGTATATATGCAACTACAGCATGATGCTTTGTTTGTTGTTGTGTTTGCTACTGTGGTTGAATTTGAAACTACAGATGATGCTTTGTTTGTTGTTGTGGTTGCTACTGTGATTGGACTTGAAACTACAGATGTACTCAGCGTTGTAGTAGTACTGAAAAAAAATAGAAATAGAGTACGAAACATTAGCATTGTGTGTACTTACGTAGATGTTACTGGTAATGGATCATTATATTCTCGTGTTTGAATGTAGAAAGGAATTTTCTGATAATTTTTAAGTTCTTGTCTACCATTGCTATTTGAAGTGATAGCAAATGTCATGGATCCACTTGTTATATTACTGACATTTCTAGTATGATTTTCTTCTAGCCACACATTTATATCAATATTCAATTTATCATGAATGTAACTCATGTTAGAAACAGTATAATTACGACAAGTTCCATTGTCACCAAGTATCTGTAGTGTATCCAGTGCACACATATGAATTGTGAGTGTTTCTTGTGCTTGATTATAGATAGTGAATGTAATTGGAACCATTGAATTGTTTTTAAATGTATATGGTTGATTAGTAATTGAGATTAGAATTGAGGTTGGTGAAATGAGAGCATCACTTTGTCGTTGTACTATTGAACCATCTATTAATTTTATTTTGGTCACCATTCGAAAATCAGTATTTGGTATTTGCACGGGGAAAATGATGGATCCAGTTTCTGTGACATTTGATGCATGCGAAACTGATATTACTTGACCGACTTTGTTAACTAATTCAACAGTGGCCGATTGAATAGAAGACCTAAGATTTTTACATGATGTCACTATTACAAGATCTGCTTGATTAACAGTAGGCGCAGTAAGTAAAGGCCCATAACTATTATTTGATTCGCGTTTAATCGGTTGACTTAGTACTGTGCGACATGTCATCAGTGTTGATGAGTTTGACGTCTCTGGAATAGTTATTTCGATAGTACGAGAAAATGATTGACTGCTTGAAATTTGCCATAAACCAGCTCGTGGATTTTCGATAGTATATAATTGAAAATACGTTCCATCGGCGGTCAACACAGGAGTAATTGATACACCATCGGGACCAATTAAATGTAATGAATCAGAAGTTGATGTCAGCACAGAGCTACTAGAAGTTAAATCAATTTGCAAGCGAGAAATATTGGCATCAATAGCAAATGTTCTATTGATTGTATCGGATCCAGTTATGGCAAGTAGGGTTTGCTTTGGAAATAAATTACGAATAGCAAATGCTGCTGTTGCATTACTATCTCGGCTTGGATTAAGTCCAATTGTTGCTCCACCAGTTGCTGTGGCTAGGTCATCATCTACTGAACCATCTAGTATTTCACCAACATTTCTTCGTCGACGATGCTTTCCAAACGGGAATGTAGAACTTACATAAAACGAGAAAACCTTGGATTTAAGTTCAGCAGCACGTGCTAATACTTTTGGTTGAAGATAATAATCTTTTGCGGGCGCATCAGTAAACGTGTAAACGATAGAATTCGGTTCACATACTTGAAGAGCTTCGTTGACACCATGATAGTATAATTCTGGTGTGTCACCACCACCAGAAACAGTTAAATTCTTAATTGTATCTATAAGATATTGAGCGTCAGTTGTAATTGTTAATGGACCCCATCCAGGATCATTGAACGGCGAGAAAATATAGTTCGATGGTCTGAAAAATGCATTTTCTTCACGTGTAAATTCGATTATAGCAATTGCCAGTTCTTTGACCAGTTTGATAACGGGTCCCATACTGCCTGTCGTATCAATTGCAATGACAAGACTACTTGAATGAAAACCTAAGAAGCGACCGAAAGTATCATTGCCTACAGTAGACCACAATGATTCTAATTGTTGCACTGTAGCATCGAGAGCAATTTTAGCTGCAATGATATGATATGACCCATGGTCAGAGTTTTCATTATCTTTATTAATACCAAAACCTATAGCATCAGTTTCAGTTGTTACATCGAATGGACCGCCATGACTACATTTGCCTTTCGGTTTGGAAGAACCTGTGTGATATATATTGAAATATCCACTTGTCAAATATTGACCTCTTAAAATCTCAGGCAAAATATTATTTTCAGCACAATTCTGTTGTGTACAATTGCTACAAGTAGCAAAGCCCTCTGGTGCATATAAGTCGAACATCTGTCCTTTACTGATGTTTGGATTGGGTATTCGTCGTCCTAGTTCCACCCAATTCGAATGCGCATAGAAATCTTGTAATGTATGCATCGCTTGACCAAATGATTGGCGAGCATCGAATACTGACAAAGAATCACGCATTAAATTGGTTTGAACATCAGCAAGACGATTAGCAATAAGTATTGATCCTTCAATAAATGCTTCATTATCAAAGTGTGATGAAGGTGACGTGAATTCTTCCAAATTAACAAGTACATTTGATGTACATACTTGATCAATAACAGAACGAAGTTTTGAATTGATACCTAATCGACGAGTTTCTTGTTGAATTTGATTGAACATTGTTTCAACATCATCACATAATCCAGTACCACCAGCTATATTGTCGAGATCAGTAGAACCATAAGCTGATTTAAGATAGCTCGCTGTTATTCTCAATAGAGCACATTCAGTCAAACCAAAATGTGTTGTTTTCTCTTGTCCAGAGAAACCTGAATCGAAACAGTGGCTCCTTGTAAGCAACAACAATCCCACCAATGTGAACAAAAGGACTGATCGATACATCTTTTCTAACAAACTGCCTAATAGTAATGTATATTCATGTAGATTTATATACGTTTCAGCTACTGATTAAATATCAGATTATTTCATTAATAATCATGCTTTTCACTAAGACTTCCGCTATGATATGTATATTTTTTACGTAGTTGTTTTTCAAAAATCAGCATTTTTCTTTCATTTCATATTTGTCACATAAAATCTGATACGTAATCGAATATTTTGTAAATTAGAAAAAGAAACATACTGGTGTAATTCGATTCTCAAAATTTACACATATTGAGAAATCTATGAGGTACTTGAGTTCTGCCATCCTATATTGATTTACTTCCATGCATATAATCATGCTGATTGTCACTCAAAATTCAGATCCAATCTTTTTCTCGAGCTATAGGAATACTAGGGCGGATCACTATTTTCGAGACGCTATATCCATGTATTCAACTTCGAATGTGATGTATCCTGCGTTTCATTATCCACTTGTAAAATTTAGACAAAGAGCGCGACGGACGCATCGTTTCGTGTAAATTCTATCTCACGATATTAATCATCCTCCAGGTTCTCATCAAACTAGTTAATCATATCATTTTCTAGGTAAAATATATTTGTATTGTTTTTTATGTTTGGAAATATTTTGTCAGCAATTGCAAAATATTTACTTTTTACTTCATATTATTTAAGATATCAAATATTTTACGTTTTGAAATCATCGGATATGATGTTTAATATATGTATGGCAGTTATTCAACATGTAATAGATTCTGTTTTGACTAAGAAACACAAGATAAAGAGCAAAAAAATTTAATATAACATGAACGCATTATTTTAAAATTCAATCAAAGTATTAAGTTTATTCAATAGCTTTAATTTAGAGAGATTAACATAGGATATCAAACAGAAAGAAACCACATGTTTATCATTGAGACAATAACGGCAATGATTTCGGTACACTAGTTGTCTTTTCTAAATGTGGCGGTGCAATAAAATGAAGTTTTCCAGTTGGTGAACTTGAATATTGTTTTTGTAACCATAAAACAAGTTTGCCATCTGTTAGAAAACATGCATTCATTGCACCAATACGAAATCGACGTGTTAAGACACCATCCGATGAACGATACAGCAACAGTTGTTGACCACGTGGATCACAGAGAAGGTAGTGACCATCGTCGCCAAATGATGTAATTGCAGTAATCCATTTTATATGCATAGGTAAAAGTAGATCATCAGTATGTTGCTTATTAAAATCATGATCGAATAAACAAAAATAATGATTTAAATGTTTATCCGATTGTAAACGACGATAGATAAGCACAATATATTTATTTGTAACACACATAGCTGCTATATAACCGTTAATTTGTTCATTTTTGCCTGAACGAAGTAGAAAACTATTGTCATCAATGGGTGTATAAACGAAATTGGACGACGGAAGAACTGGATGAACAAGTTTTTCAACCATATAAATATTTGAATCCGTTTTATAAGCTATCAATATTAACAAGAGAAAAAAATCAATAAATATAAATTTGAATTAGCTGCTTACCATAAATTATTGAACCATCATATGTACAACCGAGAAATCTCGATGCATGATGTGATTCACCATTTATTGGTCGGCACCGAAATCTATCTGCGTGTTGTTGTCTTTGCATATTAAAAAAATACATATGATGTTTTCCGTTAAGTATTAAACGTTGGCTATGTTCACACCAAGTGCCGGCGAATATTTTTTCTTTTATTGTGCCAAATATTTGTGATAATCGAATACTAGTTTCAAGACCAGAACCACGATTAATTACGTCAATAGAAGTCGTGCTCAACAACAGAAGACTATTATCGGAACGACGACAGAAAAAACTTTCGTGATAATGATCATTCAATGATATTACGATCGGATGACGACCAATCGAAAATACAGATTTGAAAGGACTGGGAAATATTTTACGTTTATCTAAACGAACAGTAACATTAGTATTACTGATTTGGTTACCATTTTTATTTTGTTTTGCATTCGGTGATGATTCTATTCGAGGTGCGAAACGAAGACGAAGAAGTTCTTCAATGTTAAGTTTTCCTAATTCTACAGTAGGACTTTTAATTTCTTCCACCGATTGACCACAAGTATTGCGAGCATCTAAACGACGTTTTATAGTAGACATCGTTTTCGTACTTAACAATTGATCACGTTTCAAATGGCCATTAAGTAAATGTGTATAATCATTAGCTTCTTCGCTTGTCAATAGTACGGAGCTATATGATAAAGATCGAAATATTATCCGACTAAATTTAATTAAAACTATCAATAAAAAAGAGAAACTTTTCTCTTGAGTATTTTATTGGACTTTTTCAAGAACAGAACACGATCACATGCATGCCATTATTCAAAACAGATGAATTTGATAGATTTCAATTAATATTCATGAAGTTTAACTAGCAATGTCTGTGATTCATGTGAGAAAAAATTTCTTTTTTGTCTTAAGTTTTCATTATAAAGCATTAAGATGTTTCTAAGAATGTCAAATCTCACTGAGATTTCTACAGCTGACAATTTCATAAATCATAAAATTCTCAACATTTGAAAACAAAAATTTTCTCCATACTTAGTACGTTTTTCTCTTTGTTTTCGTCGCAATACCAAACTAGTTTCAATTTCTTTGATAATATTTTCTTCGCGTTGTTGAATATCAGCAATTAAATTAGTAACAGTATCACGTGTATGTCGAAGAGTTTGCTGAGAAGCATGTAGAAAATTAAGATCGATTTCATCGTGCGTTGCCATTGGATCGATTTGGCACTGTTTTAGTTTTTGTATAAGATCAGTCATTTGCTGTGTAACTAGTATTCGATGTTTCATACTGCATTGCCCACAAAAAACATCACTACAATGATTGAGACAAGCAAAATGTGCGATTGAATTACATTGTGAACACATTGACGAAGAAGATTTATAATCAAGAGATAGACTATTTGTTGTAGTATTCATTGTTACTGATTTGATTTGAATCTCTTTTTGCAATTTATTTCTCGATTGTAGAAACAGTAAATGCATAAGAACGTATTACTGCTGTGCACTTCACTTCTTTTTCTTTTTCATTCTTTCCTCATTGGTAGATGACTTTTTCTTTCACTTTATACTGTTTTATTTATTATTCTCTTTTTTAATTTGTAAGACGACTGCGGAATAAATCTATTTTAAAAACAGTTACCTAGATGGAAGATAATCGATTTTTTTAAACTGAATTAATAATAGTTAATTCAAACATGCTTATGTCTTTTAGAGAGAATAAGTAGCGAAGCTTTATTTGTATGATGTTAAAAGAGAGACAAAAAACAAATGTCACCGAATGTTTAGCGACTAAATAAGAAATTGAAATATAGATGGTCTTTGTTGCGCTTGTTCATCTGTATCAGAAATGATTTTTTTCTGTGTTGAACTCATAGACTGTGTTCTAGGCCGTGTGTGACTGTGGTGATGATAACTGATAGGACGTGGTCTTTCTTTTGAATTAGTATCGTCATGATGCCTTGAACTATGATGATGTTCAATTGATGAAGATCGTTTGCGCCTATCCGAGTCATCAGGGTGTTTAAGAGTTTCTTTTGCGTGTGACAAAGTTTTCTGCATCCATTGCAACACCGAATTGCTGCGTGCTCGTGTAGGTGCCTTAAGTCAATAAATAGACTAAAGCATAAAAGATGACTATGATTTTTAGATACTAGCTTACAGGTGTCAATGCTGATGCTGTTGTTGTTGTATCGTGTTCATTGCTTTCAGTCAATGATTCGTGCGTAACTTGTTCATTAGTTGTTTGGCTCACCGGATTAGGAATATTATATATATCCATGTTGTTTCGCAAAAAAAGACTTCTAGATCAACTATTCACAAGTAGGGTTTTTAAAAATAAGAAAAGGTTGACACTATTATCTTTATATATACCCAGATAAAAACTACTGACGTTTGCTTAAACATGCGACGAAATGTTAGACTTGCTTCAGGTTATATTACAAAAAAACAACTCGGTCGTTTCTTTATCAAAAAGAAAAAAATTGAAATATACGTAATACTACAGTGACCTGATTTTAATCAGAAACTGGGCCATTTTTTATTAATGAAAATTGACGAAATGATTAATATTATGAATTATAGAACATCGACGACGTCTGCATGTTAGTCAATTTTTCTAATCTGTTTATAAAGATTTCAAAATAAGCTTTTATCCATTGATAATTTATTCATCTGTCTATTTTTTTTGTTTAGAAATTATGATTTTAAGTTGTAGTCATCGAGACTAAATCAATTTTTAGTAGTAATTTTGCGTTTTTATCAACATGTCCCATTACATTGTAAGATAAATATTCAACTACTAATTTGATTTGTGAGATTTTCTGATTTGTTATTTATGTGATAAGAACGCAAACATTGATATTCATAATGATTTAGAATGATATTTCTCATGAAAATCAAAAATAAAACCATATTTGATTGGTACAAAAACTCATAACTGAATTTTTATTAGACACATTATTCAGAAATAATTCTCTTTTTAAATAGTTTTGATGGTATTGATAAGAACTTATAATGTTATTCCGATTGTTAATGGTTGTCGATACTCATTATGGAGTGGCAACAATGCAAATCTTTCGCTTTTACCTGATACATCCAGGTGAATTAATCCGATAGCGAGGTCGATGAAATCTTGCAATATCCTATTATCTGAAAGAATCCGATAAGATAAAGTAGTCTAAAGAATCAATAATGAATCCGAATGTCGAATTCCTACAAATCTTTGATAATATTCAACCATGAAAAATGAATGTAATTCTACCAATTAGATTCTGATCTATTTTCAGCAGGATCTAAAGCATCGTTTTGGTCCTGTTAAGATTGTTTTTCCAAGATCATTGTTCTTATTTAGAATATTTCTTACGGAACTTTGAGAAAATTGAATGTTCTCATGGAAGCAAGTGTCGCACTTCCATAAGATAAGATAGAATCCAATAGACAGCCGATCAGTAATACAAGATGTGAGCAGATGAAGTGACTTTATCATACTCCACTACAAAAAAAAGAACAATATTTGAATCTCTATCATTTACTAGATCTCAATCCCTGATTATTTGCTCTGATTAATCTCTTAGTAGAATCGCATATTAATCCGATTAATGACACTCTCACTGAATGTATATATTGAAAATGGTAGAATACTCAATGGATATTGATTCTCAGCTGCAATAATTCAATGACAATAATTTCCTACTGGATTAATGACTTAAGATTAAATTGAATTCTGACACTAATGATCTAAACATTGTTCGAAATCTGCTTTTCGACGATGTTCCTACAGGATTCTAATAGAATTCTATCAGAGCATCTGATCGAATCGATATCGTTACTGACATTAGAAGCTTCCCGATTGTCCTAGAAAACGAGAACTGATGTCTTGAAGTATCTGAATACTAAAAGATTCAACCCATAGAAAAACTATGTTCTATAAATTAAAACAATTTTATAGGCAACAGCACACTCATTATATGGACAATATTAATGAATGAAAATTATCGAGTTGATGGATTGATTTTGTAAATAGAGGGACATCAGCGATATCTACTGGATAAATTTTTATTTGTTTATTGATATTTGGAAAAAAAACTTGCTTACTTACTGTCAGTTCTATATGTATTAACAGGTCATTCATTAAACTGCTCTTGTCAATATGGTTGTAACCCGTAATCATAAAACTCACGCAGCCAAACAGCCATTGAAAAAGTCACAGCGAAATTATGAACAACAAAAATATTGGAATGATCGTTATGCTGCTAAATTGATAGGAGAAACTATCGACGACGACGTTGATGATGATGGTGATCATACTGACGAATGGTATTTTTCATATTCCGATATTTCAGATGTGTTACAATCACATTTAAAAAAACATCATCGTCATTCTCCTGTACTTGATATTGGATGTGGTTTATCAAAAATATTCAATGAACTTTTAAAGGATCATTTTCTTGGGCCATTCGTTGGTATTGATTATGCTCCAGTTGTTATCAAACAATGTAAAAAAGCGAACCGAAATGATAATATTCATTATTTAATACTAAATATGTTGCAAAAACGAAAACCCGATTTATCATTTAATTCATTCGGTTTAATAATTGATAAAGGAACGACAGATGGAATCCTGAATAATGAAGCAAATCTACTTGGTATTTCAACTATGTATGAACATGCATCAAGTTTTCTTTCTTCAAATGGTATTTTTCTTATTATTACAATCAAAACTGTTGATGATACCGAATGGTTTGAAGGCTGTCTCATACCTTCTCTTATCCGTGGTAGTCAAAATCAGCAAACAAAATTTATTATTCACTTTCATGAATGTGCGACATACACAGATGGAACTGAAAATGGTCCAAATATTTTTGTAATTGTCAAACATGATTGTAAATCCTATTCGTTACGCTCATCAACAAATCAATCGAAACAAGACATATCTCAAATAGTAACTGTTAAATGTTATTAGTCATATGATAATAGTTCGAAAAGAAAAAAAGAATTTTTAGGACAATAAATAAGAATACCATTGTTTTCATAATTATATAACTTTTAAGAATGCACTGTCAGTCATATCAGTAGCATCAATAGGATTATTTCTTTTAGGACTAACTCATATGATAAATTAGGAATATTTTCTATCTATTTGTGCTTATTGAATGATTTTGTTGGCCTTCTTCACTATCCTGTCACAGTGTATACGTTTGTCTATTTTGCTTTTAAAAGAAAGTAGAACATTTTCTTTACTTTTTTGGCTTATGCTCTTTTTATTGTCACACTCAGAAGTGCTTACAAAAACAGAGAAACATGGAGGGACGGGAGGGATAGGTAGTAACAGACAAAAAAAGGAAGAAACAACAGAAAAAAAAACAAAAAAAGAACGAAAAGAAAAACAAAAAGGGAGAAACAAAGATAAAGATACATGAAGCAAATGAAAGTGGTAACGAGATGAACAGAGAATACAAGTAGCGGGAGTTGTAAAGGTTGAGGTAGACTGTTAAGGGGCTGTTAATAAACTACGATTTCCTGTTCCCTGTTCCCTCTTTCCTATATTCCTAATTATCACTTTGTTCATTAAAATCAAGCCAGTCAAGGAGAAGGGAGCGGTGTTTTAATTTTAAACGTTTAACCCGTTTCAACATAAATAGATGGCCAACACCATCTTTAGCTTGCTTATGGAAATTATCCCATAGGAATACATCTTCAAGAAATAAGGAAGAACCTAAATCATTTTCTTTATATGCACGCATAGAAATGAGTTACATCGAAATGCAATCACTAGACATGAAGAACAGACAAATATAATACTTTTATTTTCGACTTGTAAATTTTGAATCTATGTTTCTGAAGAACCAATACAAAATGACGTATCAAATATTTTCGTATAACAATAATAAAACTATAAATTAAGCAACGCATTCCCACAATAAGTCGAAATCGGAGTGTTCATATTCGTTTCATCCAGACAGATTACCTCATACTATGAAATATTAGTTGATTTTTCTCCATTGAATCATCTTCGGAAAGCCGAAAAATCCACGGTACTCTCTTATTGTTGAATTTCATTTATCTACTATATGATTATTCGAGTAATCAACAGAAGGAGATCAGATGAATATGATCCCTATTTACATATGCTGAAGACTAATATTCCGTTAGTAAGATTATTTCATTCGTAAGTCATCGGTAGCTACTCTCCTATAGTAAAGCGTTATGATTATGAAAAAAATGATTTAATAATTTTCCTGTGCATTGATTCAGCGCGGAAAAATATTTTTGTTGATGACTAATATTCATTAATCACATTGAAGACTTTATTCTACAGTCATGCATATATTTTTCAGAAACAAAAAAATAAGATTTATCTACATGAATAATGAGATAGATAGAATAGAGAAGAATGGTAGCACACATTTTTAGTTTTTTTCGATTATCATTGTTTAAGCAAAACAAAATGGATATTGCAACTATAAAAAAAACCAACGAGTGTACAGAAAAAAAAAGAGAGATTTCGAGATGTACAATGAGTCAATATTCTTTGTGTTATCCTTGATTATCACTGTCTGGGACAAATCGTATTGAAAGACATAATCAATCGTACAAAAAGTAAGAGCAAGAACAAATAAATAATATACATAAAGCACAATTAAAGAATAGGAATGTAGAAAAATTTTCGTTTTTTATTTTTGGTTTACTCAACTTAATTTCAGAATATCATCAAATAATGCTTTTGCTGTACGCGCAATATTAACGGCGTGTTCATTCATTTTACTATAATTTTGTTGTCGAGCAGTTTCAATTAATGAAACAACCAAAGCTGAAAAATGATTATAACGTTGTTCGGACTGAAAAAAAAAGAGCATGAGAATTAAACATATTTCAATGCAATAAAGTAGTTACCATTTCTTTGATTGATATTGGTGCATAATCAAGTGTTTGTAAAAGATCGCGAACAGCAATAGCAATATTTTTAACTAACTGCATTTGCTCTTTATCAGTTGTTGGCGACATAGGACGATTGAATCTTAGTTGTAAACCATTATTATTATCTGGTTCATTTTGACGAGTTAGCATCAGTACAGCATTAACAATTTGTTTTGTTTGTGAATGAAATAAATCAAGTAATCCTGATGATGATGACCTTACAGATTGATCTTTAGTTTTCGTTGATTTACTATCATGAAAATCTTTATTATCATACAGTGAAAGCTAAAAAGAAAATAATCTAATGTTTTAAACGCGCTGAAATGATTGCGATCAATTACTGTGTTTCCAGCCGAACCACGATATTGAAGATTGTGACTAGATTCGCTTCGTCCTGTTGTCATCTTGTTACTGCCAACTAAGTGAATACAAATAAATACACGTAACAACAGTACGTCAAATATTTTGTTCGACGACTTTTATGTTTCAATCGAAAATTTTCTAACATAATAATATCGGGAAAAAAGTTCAGTTAATTTATTCTCAAACAATAAATATCTTCGTAACTAATGAATGAATGAATATAGAAATCGGAATGAAAATGAGGATTTTCTAAATATCTTTCTAACTCAATAATATAAATAACGATTTTGACGATGTTCGATTTCATATTATCCGTGTAAGCTGTGATGTACTAATACACAAGTGCGGATGTCTACATGAAGCATTCACTCGGAACGAGACCTTTTCAAGTGTTGTCTGAATATCTAGATCCGAGTAAAAAGTTTATTTAAAGAGTGATCGATAGGTCACATATTCGAATATTGTTGAGCTTGTGTTGACCTGACCAAAAGCTAATCGAACGTCGTCTAGTGTTTGCTTTACTCGTTGTTATATATGATTACTTTTTAACGAAAAAATTTGAACTTACCCGTTAATCGGTGGCCTGTAAAATCACTTTTACTCGGTAAAGCAGGTTTAGGTGGCACATTATCATCCATTGATTGTAATAAAATTGCAGACGAAGCTGTTAATGATGAATTAGATTTCGATTTTATCGCTATTTGTTCATGAGAATACATTCGATCTTTAAAATGAATATGTGAATTACTATTTAATCGTTCTTCATGTAATATTGATCTAAACGACATGAAATAAGTTGCTGTTTTCTTGCTTAATTATTTTTTTTTAAAAGAAATAATCTGTTTACGTTAAACACGATTCAATTTGAAGAAATGATGGTCGATTGGTTGGTTCATATGACCAACATTCTTGTAGCAGATCAAATAAACGCTTTGGACAATAAGCACCGGGCAATGGTAGTCGAACACCATTTTCAATTTGATCAATAACATCTGTATTTGCCACTCCTTGAAATGGCTTTTTACCCATTGTTAAAATTTCCCACATACAAACACCAAACATCCAAACATCAGATAGATGAGTAAAACGACGAAAATTTATTGACTCAGGTGCCATCCATTTTATTGGTAATTTACCTTTAGATGCTGCAAGAAAATAAATTGTTTCTACTGCGGCTTTTTTTTGTTGTCATTTCATTTTATTACCTTTGTAATACGCATTGTCCAATGTTAATTGTCTTGAGAGGCCAAAATCTGCTAACTTAACTGACTCATGATTTGAAACAAGAATATTTCTTGCAGCAATATCACTTTTAAAGGAAAATTAACCATATTATTTCTATGTTTTAGTTTTTAATCAATTTGCTTTTACCGATGAACAAATTTTTTTGCTTCAAGATATGCTAGTGCTGATGCTAATTGTTCACAATAGAGCACTAATGTTACCACATCGAAATCAGATCGATTCGCAACTAAATAGGCTCGGAGCTAAACCAAATAAAAACGGAGAATACTTCAATTAGTGTTTGAGAAAAAAAAGATACTCCTTCTAACCTCGCCTAATCTTGCTAATTCCATAATAAGTAAAACAGGCTGTTCCGTACAAACACCAATCAATTTGATAATATGTGGATGATCGAATTTTTGCATTACATCTTTAAAAAAGAATAATAAAATTTTAATTCACTTTATTTGTATAAATAAAAACGAAATACTGACATGCTTCTTCTAAAAATGCTTCTGTTGTTGCTGAATCTTGCATTTTACATGTTTTTATTGCAATATTTATTTCTAATTGTTGATCAGTCTAAAAGAAATACAAAAATTAGAGAAAAATAATTTAATTAAATGATTTACTTTAAGCATTCCACGATAAACTTCACCGAATTGACCATTACCAAGTGATTCAATCATATGTATTTGCTTGCGATCGATATGATAATCTGATGATAACACATCAGCATAATCTCCATTTGAATCACCATCACCATCATCATCTTTATCATCTACTGAAAATAAAGAAGAACTCTCACTAGATATTGTACTCTTCAGCACGATAGAATAAATAGTTATGAACCCATATAGATCAGTTTAAAAGAATAAATAGTTAAACAAAAGCGATCAAGTATTCTATTCGATTGAAGTAGCTGAATGATTTGACTTAGTGGAGAATTGAAGAAAAATTCTATCCAACGGAAGTATAGAAAACAATATGTGAACCATATTTTTATGGGCTAATCGTTAATTGAAAATATGAGTATTACCTTGGGATAATGTATTATCTGATGGATGAGGAGCAAGAAAAGCAGGTGGTGATAATGCTGATGAGTATTGATCATCCATCATATAACGCCAAAGTGAATGTGCACTCCGATTGACAAGCATGCAATAACCATCAATAAGAATAGCAACATCATTAGCATCAGAAGGAGACGAAAAGCTGAATGTTAAAGTCTAAATAATAATCATCAATCGTAATTTTATGTTAAATCAAAAGTTGATACAATCAAACAAACCTCTGATGATCCAGCGATCGTTAATTTAAGTAGACCACGTTCATCAGAATTCGTTCTTGTTGTTGCTATTGAAAGAACACTTTCAAAAGCAGCCATTTTTGTTAACTACAAATGATTAGATGAATCAGAGAACAAGAAAAGAATGTGAAATTTTACTGTAAGAGAATTTTGAGTTCGATAACTGATACCATCTGCTGAGCCAAGTACAAGACTGATCGGCACAGCCCATTCAGCCTTAAATAAAATGTTAATATACTACTTCTTTTTGTATAATTGAGTTTACAATTGAATAAATGATGTTATTTCAACTCAAAATCAATATTTAAAGGTAGAAGAATCGAATGAAAATAGCTGCAAACTTTCCAAAAGCCACGATGGCTTAAGTAAACACCTAGAAGACTTTTAATGAAGTTTATTCGATTTCAGGGGATAAATATATTTTTTTCTCTCTAGATATTGAGTAAAAAATAAGACAACATGTGATTTATTCACTATTAAGAAATCGTTTGCTGTCATTTCTAACTATCTGAAATGTGAAATTGAAAATATTTACTTACACCAAGATTACATGTAAATATTTCTTGTTCCCAATTCCAAGCATCTTTGAGTACATAACAAAAACGTTTAACACATTCTTCTTCTGCTAGACCTTCATATTTTTTTAAACATGCTTTAATAGCTTTTCGAAGTACTTTTGGCTTAAAAATGAAATAAATGTAAAGAATTTTGTTTTTTAAATTCTATTGTATTAACAAACTTTATGAGAATCAATAACAGATTGTGGAAAAAATCTTTTCAAGCCAAGTTCTTTTTCCAAATAATCAACATTTACTTTTTTATCCAATGCTGTTGGATTAAGATCTTTAAAAAGTTTACGAATTTCAAGTGAACCTAATTCAATAGCGTCATTCACTGATACATGTTCAGATTTTAACCGCATATAATCAATACGAAGCTATGTAAAATAAAATCAAAGTGAAATTTATATTCAAACATTACGAACAATGTACTTGTTCATAAAAATATGCAAATGTCGGCTTGTCATATGATAGAGCATCAATAGATTGTGGAAAATATCGAAGACGAAGGTCAAATCTAAATATTTATTGATTAAAAATTTTCAATATCAAAACTGATTAGCTACTTTAATTCTTCAATAGGTCCATAAATTCGCTGTACTTTTTCCATTGTCATGTTTGAATGAAGCCATTTATCGGTTAAATTTGCTTTTTCCGATGAAGATGATATGCGTAAATTTGCTATTTGATGTTCTTTACCAACATATATTACACGAAGCGCAAACGATAAATGATAAAACAATTCGTACGATGAAAGACGTCCTTTCAATACTATGCGAATAAGTTCCTGAAAAGAAAAATAGACGAATAAATAAATAAAAATATATTTTTAATTATTCACGCATACAGCAACAGTCGTCGATGGCGTATAACGAAGACCATGAAAAGAACCATTTGGGAAATAGATTTTCAGAAATGTATTCTTGTCCATATTTATATCAGCATTACCTGTCCCGGTAACAAGATTGAAGGAGAAGGATCAATGTATCTCAAATTTCTATTCGTTCTAAACATAAACCATTAATATGCACAACTATTCATACTATGACCTCTATCGATTAATCATCTAATACGTTTACTAATACATATATTCTTTAAAAGTTATCTTATCTATGTGCCATAGATAGATTGTTTTCAATTTGTTTTTATGAAATTCGATCAATCAATAATTGTGGCCAGGGTTCTCGTAAGAATATTCAATAAAGAAACTACTCATGTAAGCAAAAATCAAACATCCTTCTTAGTTTTGACTATTAGTAGTATTCACTCAGTAGATGTGCCACCTTGAGATATGGTAAAATATCAGATAGGAAAAACAACTTTCATGGTGAAGAGAACATCACCTCACCTGTATTTTTATATTCACTGTGGAGGACTTGGTCTAAACGAATACCGTAGTCATTAGATACTCATGGGCTCTTTTTAGATTTGCCAATCCTTTTGCTCAATTTAAAAATCAAGTGAAATGGCACATGCTCATCAAATTACATACCCAATATCAGGTGTTCGCACTGTATTTAATGGACTTAATTCTGAAACAATGTTTGTCGCACAAACTGCATCGTTACCAGAACTAGCATTAGGAGAAATTCTTGTTAAAGTAATTAAACAATCATTTTAATAAAATAAAATTGTTTTTGGTTGCAGGTTCGTTTAGCATCAATCTGTATGAGTGATGTACATACGATTACAGGTCAACGTATTGAACCAACACCAAGGTAATTCTTTCTTGTTTTAAATAAGTTTCCTTTTTTTTCTAAAAACTTCCTTTCTTATGTGAAGTGTTCTTGGTCATGAAGCTGTCGTTGAAGTTGTTAGTCATCGTCGACCTGAAAGTGATTTAGCTGTAGGCGATCGTTTAACATTTTCAATTGCAGATTCTTGTGGTCAATGTGAATTTTGTTTAGCTGGTTTCAATCAAAAATGTGTTCAATTATTCAAAGTAGGAAAACAGTTACCTAATTGTTTGTCTGAGTTTTCAAATTATTATTTTTCTACAGTATGGTCATGCGAAATTAAGTGATGGTTCTGGATACAATGGTTGTTATGCTACACATATTATTATTCGACGTGGTACTCATGTTGTAAAAGTACCTCAAACGATATCAGATCGATGTGCAGCACCAATCAATTGTGCATTGGCAACGACAATGTGTGCTATGGAATATGTACCAAAAATAAAAAATGGACGAGCTTTTGTTCAAGTAAAATTTCTTTTAACTATTTGAAGACACAGACATACACACAAACTATCAGTAGTTTCGATGAAAATACAGAATCTTATCATAAATCTATGTTTCGTGTTTCAATGAATTCATTGAATATTTAACATCGATTCAAAAATATTTTACACGTGTATACTTTTTCTAAGTATTGCTTAATATAATTGATGTGAAGTATCTGTTTGAACTCTGTAAATTTCATTCGAGGTTATAGACAAATATCAAGAGATTGAAGTGTGCTTTCGGTATATATGAAGAAATCTGAAAATAATTGATTACAATAATAACTTTTTAGATCACAATCTACATTGGAGTGTAGGACCTTTACACATGATACACAAAATAACTTAATATTACTCATACAACGATTGAAATTCTCTATTTTGATTTTGATAGATGTATTTTCAAAACATCCACTCCTATTCATTTCTTTATTCATTGTTATCGATCATTTTGACAGCACACATTTGATATATTGCTCGATAGTTCAAATCTATATCATTGAAAACTGAATGCATTTATTTTATGCTTCTAATGAGATAGCTATCAGCACTGATTACTAGTTCGTGACAGACTGAGCGAAGTTATTCAACAACTTCTCGTACTCTTGGATCTGATTTATAATCTGTTAGTTGCTAATTGAAAAATTCCAACAAGAATAGAACGTCGACATGGAGACCTATCTAGACATAGAATGAAGGATCTCTAAAAGAAAAGATCCGTTATGCCTTTTTGTTAAGATATTCAATTTTCAAATAAATTGGATTTATTATCTTATCACGAAGTAAAACAATCCTAGTTCGACAACCATGGTCATTTGCAGAAATAGAACCGTCTAGATGTGTGCTAGTTTCATCAAAATATATCTTTCTCGACTCAAAATAATATTTAATCTATGTTGTTTAATGAAACAAATATTTCAATGTTTGATCTCACACCTGCAAAGATGTTTGAAAAATTGTATTTTCATTTAAATAATTTATAATTGAAATCAAAGACACATTATATAGTAGAATTCATTTTTGTTCTGTTTTAAAGGGTGACGGAATGCTTGGTTTGTATACATGTGCAGCTCTTCGTGAATATGGTTATGAAATAGTTTACTGTTCTGGAACTCGTTTGCAACGTTCGCCATTCATTGATCGTTTTGGTGCTATTCCACTTTACAATGGTAGGTGTTTGTCTAATTTTTTTGTTGTCTATCCATATAAATGCAATATACTTCAAACAAATAATGAACGCACTTATTTTTACTTATTCTCGTTTGCTTCTTTTTTTTGTATGTTTCATTTAGACAGACCAGGTATGATAGGAATACTTTTCATAAGAAATAAGCATCCCTTCTATAATAATTGCTTGGAACTTCTTAGTCTTCGTGTAGATCGGACTTCTTTCTATATAGAAGAAAAAAAATGTCTCGTGATTTATCGTATTTAAACAGGATAATAGCATGTGTTTTAGCACGTATATTCTAAGTTCTATGTACGTTTATATCTTTTAATCGTATGCGACTTGAAAACGATACGAAAAGTTATTTCATTCATGTATTTTTCTAGACGAAATACTTGCAGAAGAAATGAACAAGATTGATGTCGTTGTTGAAGTAGGTTATTTCTTTTCGCTTCTGATACAACTACACACATACATTTAAGAACACTATTTATTTTTATTTGTTTCAAAACATTAAGATAAATTTGCTTTTATTTCTTATTCAAAAAACATTATTCATTTCTATTTTTGGCGACCCTTGTAGGTCTGTGGAGTACCAAATGTGGTTAATGATGGTATAAGAATGTTAAAACCTGGTGGACTCTATCTATTTGTTGGTATGGTACATCCAAATTCAAAACTGGATATAACCGGCGAACAAATTATTCGTAAATGTTTGATGATCAAAGGTACACGATCGAATAACTTCAACAATAAAATGCCACATATTTCCTTCCATTTAGGTATTCATAATTATGCTTCACGTCATCTTGATCAAGCGGTTCAATTTCTTGAAAAAACAATTAACAAATATCCTTATGAAGAACTCATAGGACCCACTTATAATTTATCTGCTCTATCAGATGCTATGAAAATTGCTATCGATAAAAAACATGGTCGAATTTTAGTGAACCCAAATACGAGTATTGAGAGTAATTAATAATTTAAAACAAAGCAAAACCTATAGTTTTATCGTTTTACTCTTCTTGTAAACAGTTAGTTTCAGTTTTCTTCGTGATTATTAAACACTGAACATTGAAATCATTTATTTTGATTGTTATTTAGTCTTTTGTTTTATTTCTGTTGTTGATTTTGCAAGACTCAATATTTATTGAATAAAATAATAAATGAAATCTTATTGCTTTTGTTCATATGCATTTGATGTATAGGGCAAAGAAAAGCTCATAGACGGAACAACAAAAGAAACTACCGGAGTAAAACCTTTTCAAATATTATTACGTGTCTAATGTTTTTTCTGATTATCTACAGGTGAATAAGAATTGAATTGTCGTAAGATTTTGACGACTTTTTCCCAATTAGCTTCAGCAATTCGACCTGTGCGTTTATCATTAAAACACGTTGTTTCACATTTCTTTGACAGTTTTTCACAATAGTCAATTGAACCGGTTATTACTTGATTCATTTGTGCTAGAAGACAAGCAGCAAATTGTTGTTGGCATTTGGCATAACAATAGCCTGATAAGAATAGAAAGAAAGTCTATTGGTAATAATAATTCATATTCAATAACTATCATTTACCACAAATTTTTCCTTCAAGTGATAGATTTTCACTGTCAAATTCAATTTTACAATCTGTTTCAGAGCTGTCCCCACGTCGACTCCACCAAACTAAAATTAAACGATAAGTAATCATAAGAATTTTCGTTGTCACTAATCTTATACGAATAGAATCTATTCAGCATAATGAAAGTTTTGCTATAGTTCTTCTATTCTATTTATGCAAACATGAATACTTACTGTTGCTTCGGGCAGATAAACAATGAATTAGTTGAATAAATGAAAGTAAAACGATAATATGTTTCAACATTTCTGAAACAAATTCAATGACGATGATTAAAGTAAAGGTTTGTGTGGTCTAAAATAATCAAAAAAGAGTTTCAGTTCTTATTCATTTATTAATTTGGTGAATATTTTATGGTATTTAATAGAACGAAGATCAAAATAGGCCACTTCTAGATTTCTTTTTTATTCATCATCTTATTGCCAAACGTTCGAACAATTAGTTTGGACATGTCCACTTGAACAAAGAGACTTGTTAAATAAATTCATACTAATATTTTGAGTATATAAAACTGAAAGGGAAATATAGAATGAGAGAGAGAGAGAGAGAGAGAAAGAGAAAGAGAAATCAAGAATTTGACGATAAGAGAAAAATAGCACGATAGTTTTTTTTTCTTATACAAAGAACGCTGTTACAAAGACAAAAGTTTTCCTTTAATGATTTGTTTGTTAACATATAAAGTATTAATCAGTTATATAAAAGAAAACAAATATAGAAAGCTCCAACTTAATTTACATTCGTCTCGAAACGTAACATCAACATAAAAATAGAACCCAACCAGGAAACTCAAAAAATGAATGATATTCTTTTCTTTATGTTAGTAATAAACATAATCGAAAATGCCCAGAGTCATAAGTTTTCAATAGAATTGCGTGCTTTTTTTAATTAACGTCGCCTTGTATAATCTTTAATAGATCACGCCTCTTCTCTTTTCAGACACAATCACAATCACAATAACATGAATATCATCAGTTGATCTTATTCTAATCTGTAGATAATAGAAATTCCTAATCAACAAAAAATCTTCTTAGAACTCAAAAGAAATCGAAACGTAAATTAGAAGAAGGGCTTATGTGAGGTATAAAAAAATTTAAAATGTAAGAATTTGTATATTTACTTACAATCAAAGAATACTTGTAATAATATGACCTTTACTGTTTTATATACAACGCTCGTCGAAACAACTATCGCATTTATATTCAATTGATATTGAGATCGTCATTCTCAAGTAGTGTTAATAATGGAAAATGCAAGGCGATGAATGGCACTACTCTCTTTTGCGTTTTTAAGTTCTAATTTTGCTTGTTTTCCTCTAGTTTTGTTCTTGTCTTGTCTTCTCTTTTTTTTTTGTTTTACATTGATATGAAAAGAAAAGGTATTCAAATCCCAAGGCAAAACAATAAGAAGAATCACGTATCATGCGGTGAAAAATATGATGCCCCGTGAGTTTAGAATGCCAATAGAGTAGAATGATAGAACGTGAAGTTCTGAGCATATCTGTTTATTTGCTATTATGTTTTTTTACTGAATACAAAAAAAAGATCTTTTTATGGTAATTAGTTTTAGAGGCGGCGTACTAATATTTCGGTATCTATGATCTTTTCTTATTGAAATGGATATGAAAACTAGAAGTGGTGATCGACGCAGCTGTTCCGGCTCTATCTAATCAAATACTGGTCCTGTTTACTGATGACTTCACTCTCTAATAATATACAACATCAAACAAAATCCGGTATTGAAATTGTTTGATCTTGTATATTGTAAGAGAGTGAAGCGATTAATAAACAGAAATAGTATATGATTATGTCGATCGCCACAACTAGTTTTCATATCAATTTCAAGAAGAAAAAATTATGAATAACGAAAAATTAGTATATCACCTCTAAAATTAATGATCATAAAAACATATTTTATTTTGTATTCAGCAAAAAAGCACGATAATAAACATACAGATATGCTCAGAATCTCATGCTCTATCATTCTACTCTATTGGTATTCGAAACTCAGGTGTAACATATTTTTCACTGCACCGTACTACATGTTTCATATGTTCTTTATAAAAGAAAAAAGCTTAAAATACTCGTCGAGATCTGTCTTGTTCTAACATAGCTGTTTGATTTTAGTAAGAGATCTATAAATGAGTGAAAGACAGAGACTCACTTTTTTTTCTACTGAGTGTCTACTCAATAAAGACAAGTGTATTTCATAATTGGGCACAGAAGTTCAATGGATTATATATGTTTTTCTCAAAGATTTTTCTGGTTGGCATTCTATGCAATACACTTTTATCTTTGGATGATTCCATAATAAATTTGCAGTAGAAAACAATGAAATGATTATTATATTCTATTTGCGACTAGAATTCGGCTACCGGCATTGTTTATTAATTAGAAGAAAAAAAATTCTCTCTTCTGAATATTGATTAAAGTAATTATGTGTAGACAATAGGATTTAAACAAACATTTAACACAGCAAGGAAATATACTATTCTAACACTAAACTTAAGTTCAATCAACGATTGTTATTAATTATGTCTCAACTTAGACAACCAAATACTGGAGTTCTCTGACAATAATCTCATTTCATTCGTATGACAGATTCATTTGAAACAAGGACAAGTTCTACTAGATCATTAATGACTAGGTATTTATTGTTTCTACTATCGTGCATAGTCAACATCATTCAATTGATATTAGAGAATAATGAAAGTATATTAAAAATAAAGAGAGATGCACTCCAGAGATGCAACTATGAAAAGTGTAGATAGATAGGAGAGAGATGCATAGGGACGTTCGAGATCAATCAATAGTGAATGGAAAAGTCATACTTTTCCCAGTTCGATCACTTTATTTTGTTTTCTTGTATTTTCTAATTTATATTTTTGTTTCGATCTGGAGATGTTTTTATAGAAATAGAAGAATTTTTATTTAATACTCTAGTTTATCTTTATTTTGAAAATTGATTTTATATTAAATTCAAAAAACTCTTTAGAAAATGTCAACGAAATAAATATTTACGACACTGATTTATCCCTAAAATCATACTTTTCACGAATCACAATTGACAGAAATTCTTCGAAATTAAATATTTTGAGCTAATCAAAATGAATAACAGGTGTGCAACAGATTGTATCTCTAAAACAGAAATTGATTAGTTAAATAATTCAAAATTCTGTCATCTCGTGGTCTTTTACGTCCAAAAAGTAAGAATTTTGTTGAATCGCCTACGTTTTTAATGAACTTTTTGATGAATGCAAGTAGATCGACAATGTGTGGTTTCCGAGATATTATTTTTAGATCACTTTTAATTGCATATTAGTTATTTTAGCCGGCAGTGAATAGTGTTTCACTTTATTTTAATGAGTATTCCAGTAAAACGTAATTGAATGAAGCGTTGTTGTCGAAAACAGCTTTTATACGCTTCAATAACTTTTTTCATTCAAGTTTTCTAACTATCAGAAATAACAAAAAGTCCAACTGTTAGAGGTATCGTAGTTGCTTTACTTTTGGACTTTCTCTTTTGTTTGGATTGTCACTACACGGAATATACAAGAAATTCAATTATAATTCTTCAAAATACAGACATTCCTTCGACGATATTCATAGAAATACTCAGTGTTCAATAACAAAAGGATACGTTCTTTTTTTTTGAGACAATACAAATTTATGTACCATTAAATATCACTTTTGATGCTTCTCTCAGTCATTATGCATATTACTATTGTAGATGCATTAGTTCTACAATCGCCACAGTAGATGTCGCCGTGTTCCAATGTAGAGAATAGCAGAGAAAAAAAAATGGTAAACATTATTGTCAAAAAGGCAAAGGACAGTTTTCTACTTGTTGAATGTCGAACTAATCATTGAGGCATTTCGCCATCTAAACAAAGCATGTAAAGTCATTCAATTAACTATCAGAAATACAAGAAGTTGTCTCACGCATCATACATTTATTAATTTTTTCTACCATTCGAAATAAATTTTCTACTGTTTAGATAGTTGACATAATCTTCATCACAAATGGCTGACACTGTAAATACAAAGTTTTTCTATCACTCTTATCATAATTGTATGATGTATTTTTAGACTAATGCAGAAAAACCAATATCAGTCCATTCACTCGTGTTCCGTTCACTTAAACGAACACATGATCTATTCGTTGCTAATCAAAATACCCCCGTATTACCTGATGAAACTGCGTATGTCCTCATTAACTGATTAGTCTCTTGTGTTTTATAAACTTTTTCTAATTTTTATCAATAGAAATAGTATATCAAGGAAAATTAAAGCTAAAGATCAATACGGCACTGTATTGACATTACCGAAAGGTATGAAACCACATGTGAAAAATACAGCTGAAACAAATGAAACAACAACAACAGCAGAGACGAAAAGTATGTTTTGTTTTGTTCATAAAATTTTAATCTTCCTTATTTTTCTGTCTTTAGATGATGGTAAGAATGACAATTACGTTTTGTTTTTGTTGTTGAAAATTAGTATAATTATTAACTTATAGATACGTCTAATAATAATGATGAAGAAACAGTGAATGATTCTCTTACAACGTAAGACATTAACAATTTTAATCTTTTAGTTTCTTATAAATCTCTTAATAATTGTTTAGTACAAATGCTGATGGATCAACAACAGCGTCGCTGATGAGCAACGTACGATTTGATTTGATTAAGAAAGTAATTATACTTTGCTGTTATTTTATAGGCACTTGTCTTGGCGAGTAAACCACAACAAACATCGAATCAATTACAAGCACTTGTATCAAGAAAGCCGGCATCTGTTATGCCTAAACCACAATGGCATGCTCCATGGAAATTAATGCGAGTAAGTTAAAAGCAGAAAATGATCTATATCATAAAAATGATATTCGTTTTAGGTCATTAGTGGACATTTAGGTTGGGTTCGTTGTGTTGATGTTGAACCTGCCAATGAATGGTTTGTTACTGGTGCTGCTGACCGTGTGATTAAAGTACTATTTGAATTGTTTTTCTTTTTCTTTTGAAAAATTTAATTTTAAAATATCTCATCTCTAGATTTGGGATCTAGCTAGTGGTACACTTAAACTATCGCTTACTGGTCATGTATCAACTGTTCGTGGTGTTGCTGTTAGTACTCGACAGCCTTATCTATTTTCTGCTGGTGAAGATAAACAAGTGAAATGTTGGGATCTCGAATGCAATAAAGTAGTTTGAAAATATATCATAAAATTTTGATGAATCATCCATTTTATTTGTAGGTTATTCGTCATTATCATGGACATTTAAGTGCTATATATGCACTTTCACTTCATCCAACGCTTGATGTTCTTGTTAGCTGTGGTCGAGATTCTGTAGCGCGAGTATGTTTTTTTAAATTTAGTATAAAAATGAAAACAAAAGCGAAAACTAATCAAAATAGGTATGGGATATGCGTACAAAAGCTCAAATACATTGTCTAACGGGTCACACAAATACTGTAGCTGATGTTAAAACACAAGCAGCAGATCCCGAAGTAAAACTTCTTTTTTTGCTTTCTTTCTGAAAATGTCTCATGTTCTTTTATATTGATGATTTAGGTTGTTACTGGTAGTCACGATAGTACAATACGTTATTGGGATCTTGTTGCTGGACGAACATATTGTACGTTGACGCATCACAAGAAAAGCGTTCGTGCTCTTGCTATTCATCCGAAATGGTAAAATTAATCGAAAAAAAATGTCGCTATCTCTCTATTTACAAACATTTAGGTATGCAATGGCATCAGCTTCACCGGATAACATCAAACAATGGAAATTTCCAAAAGGTGAATTTATTCAAAATTTAAGTGGTCATAATGCAATTGTTAATGCATTGGCGGTGAATGCTGATAATGTACTTGTATCTGGTGGTATGTTTAACATATATTTACGGATTTTTCTTTCTTGTAACTGTGCAATTGTTTTTTTCAGCGGACAATGGTTCTCTGAACTTTTGGGATTGGAAAACTGGTTACAACTTTCAGCGTCTTCAAACTATTCCACAGCCAGGCTCAATTGATCCTGAGATGGGCATTTATGCAATGACATTCGATCATAGTGGTAGTCGATTGATTACATGTGAAGCTGATAAAACAATTAAGATCTATAAAGAAGATGAAACGGCGGTAAATTTAATTGAACTAGTTTTCATTTTAACGATTGCTTATTATGGTTGTCTTTTTAGACTGAACAAACTCATCCTGTTGATTGGGCACCAAATATTTTCAAACGAAAAAGATTTTAACTGTTTTCGTTTTTCTTTTTGTTGTTGTTGTTTAACGTTTAAATTTGTGTGTACAGTTTCTTGAGAATCAAGAAAGCAAAAAAAAGGATTCGTATTACTATTCATTGTCTTCTTTAGATTATGATTTCTTTGAAAATAATCAATTTACTAACGAGATCTTTAGATGTAAGTATTCTTGATCATATTCAGAATTTTACTTTTTGAGATCGAATCTGATCGTAGGTTCTTTCGAAACTCTTAATGCAATTCGATAGCAGTTTCAATTCAAAAGACGAAGAGATGTTTCTCCAGTTTCTTTTTTGCAATCGGCGACTAGCGCACTCTACATATTTCTCAGACAACTAGAGCTAGTTGAGTCCAAAGTTTTCTTATCCATATTGAATTAACAGTCATTATCAGATTTAATCTCGATTAATCTGTTGTTCAATGACTTTTCAAACTGCGAAAAACAAACTAATGTTTTTAAATAACTCTAATTAAGAAATTATTTTCTATAGGTCTCATCAATACGATGTCTTTCTTTATCAGCAATAAACAATGCTCGAGAACGTTCCTATCGTAGAGCTGATAAAAAAGGTTTTCATAACCGTGAAGATGTTAACTACGACAATCCTAAACAACCCAAAGAATCAAATTTTCGAGATCGTTTTCGGTATACAGCACTGGAAGAAGTTAAAATGGAACAAGGTAGCCAACGATCATTAATTGAACCAATGATTGATCGAACACAACCACCACATAAATTTCATGTTGTTACAAAACTACGATCAACGTATGGTGAAACTTATTATGTAAAAGAAGCTCTAGAAAAAATTGGTTTTATTAGTTATGGCCGCAAAGTAAATACGTCTCCTTTAAAGTTGAGCTTTTTTTCTCATCCTATTCTTTCAGCAATGGAATGTATTAACAGTCATCCTTAAAAATGTTCCATCGGTAAATAAACATTTATACGTATGCAAACATATGGTACAAATCAAACCATTAACATTTGTTGACGGTGTTCCATCATTGGACGATATTGGTTCTACTAAACTATTTCCACATAGTGGACATTTAACTATAGACGATCATTTCGATTTAAAACAAATGAATGTTTCAATAGATGATAAAGACAAATGGCCAGTAGATATGGATCATATTGTTGCTCGTTTACATGCTGATCGAACGGCAAATCGTCTTCATGCAGAATATTTTCCAACAAAATATAATTGGTTTTTTGATCAACATATTGCTGGTGTGAAAGTGATACAACCATGCAATCCTGAGGTTAAAGATACACATCTAGAAGATCTGTAACATAGATAGATTAGTAAACACAAGTGTTCGATTTTGCGAGAAAGAGGATAAGAATGTTATTGTTTGTTTCTTTTTTTTAGAATAAAAATAAATTTATTTGTCTCATTGACCAACGATGAGCGAAGAAAATTCTTTTTTTTGTTTTCTATTACAATCTGTTTCTTTTTCTTTTTAGATAGAGGGATGCTCGAGTGGACATATGCAGGTATTAATTTTTCGGCTAAACCTACCGAACCATGGGCTGACGATGGTGGTATTGAATGCGCTGCACATTCAACATTACGCCAACGTTCATTTGAAACAGTTCTGACCGTAATCGTCGCTTCATACGAAATTTATTATGCAACTTATCACGCAAAAAATCAATTAGGAACATCATTTCCTCGTGAATATGCACGAGAACGTCAAGGACGACCAAGTGTATTAAGACGATTAGTACTTGTATGTTACGCTCTTTTATGGGGCATAGAAATTGGATTTAAATTAGCGTCACGTCAACTTATTTATATACTCAATCCATGTCATATTGTCACTTTGATACAAGTAAATAATAATTCTTTTTGTTTATTATTTTATTATTTCTTAAAGAGACAGAAAACCAAACAAATGGAGAGACTCGTAATCTCTCCTATCTTTGAACATTTGTGATAAAACTTTCTCAAATTCACAAGAGAGATTTTCTGATTATTTCCCAGGTTATTTTAGAATGACTAGGGAAATTCTATTTCTTGTTTCTGTCAGTCAGCCGTGCTGTGAAACCTTTCTTGATTTCTTCAGTTATTAATTTAGTTTTTTCAGCTAACCGTGATAACTCTGTCATTTCGTCATCGTCAAAAATGACAAAGAAGATTGTGAAAAATGTTTATCAAAAAAAATAAACCAACAAGATAATTTAATCTATTGTCTAAACAGTAATCGTAATTTATAAAAATGGGAAAAATGTTTATGTGAAAACTATAAAACAAAAATTAGAATTTTCTAGGAGTTGGTAACAATTGATGCTATGCCAGAAAAAGCTCATATTAACTGCGCTCTTCATCTCATTCCTGTCCACAAAAGCTAAGACAAACAGGCCATTAGTCTAAATAAATGTGAACTTCGTATGTTTTCAAACTTGTCCAATATGAGTTTTGGATATGATGTTGACAATATTAATGCTTGCTGAAATGCAATTTGCTTATTGCTTTTTTTTAACTTAGATTATGCTTCTAACCTTTTCATCAAATTATTATACTCGTGGTCTCTATCGTTTACATGTTGGCATGTTAAATGGTGGTACTCTTGCAATTTATTTTCCAGTGACAGCAACACGACTTTTTCCATTCGAGGTTGAACTTTATTATATTCAACACATTCTAATTTTAATTGTACCAGTTTTTCTTCTATCATCTCATGGTCAGTCTCTTGAAATTTTCGTAATTAAATTGCTCAATACTTTGAATATTTTAGGAGGTTATAGTCTCGAGCCAGTCGGATCTTTTCGTTGGACGATATCAGCTATTGCCAGTTTTCGTTTCTACCATTATTTTGTATTACAACCCGTTTCTTTAGTAGGGCTTATTTTCACTGAAATAGTTCTATAAATTTAACTATTATTTTTCTAGTTAACATGGGTAAATCTTAATGGTGTTCTATGTCCATTTCAATTCGATCCTTTCATTGGTCGATATTATCGTTTATGGGCTCATATACATCAAACATTATTTATGATAATTCATCATAAACTATTTTCTGTTGTAGCTCGCACTTGCATTCAATTTGATATACGACGCATTACGTATTATATAAAACGACAACAGCAAGAGCAGCAACAAATGACAATTAGTGATATTTCCAAAGACAAGTAATTTATTGCAATAACGAGTGAACGAATTAATATATAATTAAATGTTTTTACTTGAAGAAGCTCTAGTCTAATATAATGTTTATTTTTTTTTGTCAAAAATGTAGTCTGTGTTTTTTTTGCTTTTCACCGATGTTTTTTTTTTCTTTTTCTTTTGTCTCAAAACAGTGATCCACATGTGCATATTAAACAGCTAAACGAGCGAGTTCTTTTTTATTGACTTTACCCATGGCATTGCGCGGAATATGATCGAGAATGGTTATCGAGTCTGGTAGTGAATAGTTTGGTAAATATTGTTTGGAATATTGACGTATTGTATCTATGGTTAAATTCGATATATTATTTAATGATTTTGGTACAATAATCGCAACGATCTTTTGACCTAATGCTGGATCATCAATACCAACGACTGAACATTCCAATATATCTTTATGTTCTAATAGAATACGTTCAATATCTAATGCCGATATTTTATAACCAGCACGCTTAATTATATCCATTGATTGTCTACCACGAATTGAAAAAACATTTTTTTCTGAATCATAACGACAAATATCACCAGTTTTAAAGAAACTACCATCGACAGTAAATGTTGCGCGAGTTTCCTTACGCTTCCGCCAATATTCTTTGAATAAGGTTGGACTTTGAATTAGAAGTTCACCTTCAATCGGCTCGTCTGTATCTTTGCAAATTAAAAGATATTGATAGATAATAGAGCTTGTTTTTTTAAATAATAATAAAAAAAATGCATTTCAAACATACTCTTTATTTCTACTTTTGTATTATCACTATCAGCCTCTACTAATGTTTCATAACCGGTTGGTGACGTTGTATTTTCTCGTACAATTCGAACGACAACACCAGGCATTGGTCGACCGACAGTACCTATTGATAATTAACAGAAATTCATTGAACCAAATTAAAGTTAGCTTAGGATCTTTATAAAAATCTGAATTCGATTTATTATTTGAAACGAGAACTCTAACCTGGAATTCTTTCCCCATCCAATGGATTAGTTAAAGCCATTCCGCATTCTGTCATTCCATAACGTTCAAGAAGACTATGACCACTTATTTCATACCATCGTCGATAAATACTTTCAGGTAGTGCAGCTGAACCACACATCATCAAACGAATCATTTGTGAACATTGTTCGCGTACAAAATCTCTTGTCTGAGGACGTGATGCTAATTTGGCATCATAATCATAGATAAGTTTAGAATAGATTGTTGGTACAGCTGTAAAAACTGTTATATGTTTGTCAAAACCAGGTTGAACTAAATGTTCCCAAGACTAAATAAATAGGAAATATTTTGAAAAGTAAATAAAATAAATATGTAAATGTTTTGCTTTTGCATAACCTTTGATGCATCAAAGTGTGGAAGCATAATAATTGTAGCGCCAATAAAAAGTGGAGTTAACAGTGCATTTATAAGACCATGAACATGATGAAGAGGTAGAACATGTAATATCACTAAATATGATTCAAAAAATAATTTTATTAAAAGCATATACCACAAATTTACCATCATCTTTAGTCCATCGCCATGCTTTTATCATGGAGTCAACATGTGCTTGAACAGCATCAAATGTTAATACACATCCTTTTGGTTTGCCACTTGTTCCACTTGTATATATAATCAAAGCATTTGATCGTTCAGTACGATCTATCGTTGTTGATAACAATAGATCATCATTAATATCTTCTGGTGTAACTTTTGTTGATAAATTCTTTTTATGGATATTTACAATCGGTATATCAATTTGTGAATTGTTTTCTAACGTTGTTTTGATTAAATCATTACCACGATCATCACCAACAATGACTCCTCGACACTTTGCATCATTAAGAAAATAGGCAAGTGATGCTGGTGGATGTTGTAGTGATAAAGGAACTACAGTGGCACCAACCATCCATGAAGCCCACATAGCAACAATAAATGATGCATCATTTGGACAGAGTACACCTAATTGTACACTACTTTTATCGTGTGTATCATCTGTTGACTTTTGTTGTTGTTGGCAAAGTGGAACAAGACGACGAGAAAGTTTACGTGCAACAGAATACAATTGACCATAGGTATATGAAGATGAATGATCAATTAAAGCTACATTATTTGCATGTTGAGATACCGATTCGTAATAAATGGGACGTGTTGTAGATAAGAAACGTAATTTAGGCTTTGTATGAAAAACATAATTACGTATTGAAAGTAGAATAAAACGAGAATAAGCCATCTGTAAACAAAAGTAGCCTATGATATTTTCTAGTGAACGTTTTAAAATATCAAATCTACACAGAAAATTCAATGAAAATGATAGTATCAAATGATTTTTAGGATCAAAAACGATCTATCAAAGTAAACGTGTAATTTTCTACACTAATCATTGGAATTGTATTATTGATTTCTATAATTAAAAACTATAAAACGAAATTACAATCTATCTTTTTTATTCTAGAGACAAAGAGAAAATAAAATAATAATCAATTGATTCATTAAAATATATTAGATCACAAAAATAAAATCGACAGTGTTGTAAGTGAAAAAATTGATTTAGTTTTTATTGGTTGATGATGGTGGAAATAGTTTTGCATTCAATTCTTTTTTATTTACTTTTCCAACAGCATTTCGCTCGAGTTTATCAACAATTTTCAATCGTGTTGGACATTGATACGCAGGTAATTTCTTTTTACAATAATCTCGTAACTGTTCAAGTGTTAAATCTTGCTCTTTCTTTCCAGGTTGAAGAACAACAATAGCTGTAACACGTTCTCCCCATTCTAAGTCTTTGACACCAATAACTACACATTCATTAACTAATGGATGATGAAGAATAACGGATTCAATATCTAATGATGATATTTTGTAACCACCAGATTTTATAATGTCAACAGACGATCGACCAAGAATGCGAAATGTATTATTCTGTTTATCATATTCAGCCATATCTCCTAAAATAATATTAAATTTAAGTTAAATTTCTCATTCTATGAATGACCAACTAGACACTTACCCATGATATAATATCCTTCAGAATCGAATGCTTTACGAGTAGCTTCTTCTTTATTGAAATAATATTTGAATATTGTAGGACCTTTAACATAGACTTCCCCTTGTACTTTTCCATCTTTTTCTACAAAACAATCAAATTTTTTTTCCGATCAATTATAAAGCGTAACTACACGATACAAATATTTCATATCCGCAGCCGATTTTTTTTCGATGATATGAAATTCATCACAGGTTGTGCTCATCTCCTTTTGCTTTTGAGCAATAAAATTCAGAGTGACTCAAACTATTATAACTTGTTTTCCACTCACGAAATCGAGCTCAACTATGCTTGCTCATACAAGCAACAAACCTTGAAAATTTCTCTACAGATTAAAGCACACTGAAGATATGAAGTATTTTCATATGACTAACTGGCAAGTGCTTTTTGAGTACCTACCTTCTTGAAAAATGTTCACTTTATCATAAGTGCCTTCAACTACAATTTTATCTATATTGTTATCATCTTTTTGTACTAAACGTACTTTTAAATCAGGCATTGGAAGACCAACTCGACCTAAAATAGTTTCAAGATTTTGAAGTATACTAATTTAGCAAGCTAATTACCAGCTAATTTATTGCCTTCAAGTTTATTTGATAGAACGCGTCCTGTTTCTGATGAGCCGAATTGTTCAACAATTTCAAAGCCTGTTAGCTCATGCCATTTTTGAAATATCGACTCTGGCAAAGCTGATGAACCAGAAAGAAAAAGCCTAGAAATGAAAACAAAACACTACTTAACAAAATTATGCCGATCTTTTCTTTTTCATACCGTATATGATCAGAACATAATTTTTTCACATCTTTGTTAGATGAATTTTTAATATGTTCCATTAATTTTATGTAAATTGTTGGTACAGCTGAAAAAACATTAACTGATGGATTACGATCATTGAGTAGATGATTCCATGTCTGAACCAGAGCAAAAACTGTCATTTAAAAATAAAAGTTAATTCATGTTTTTAATTATACCTGTTCAGCATCAAATTTATTCATCATAACTACTGTACCACCAGCATAGAGGGGTGACATGACACAATTAATCATTCCATGAACATGATGAAGCGGAAGAACATTTAATACTGTGTCATTTTTAGTTAAACGCCAAGCTGAAAGCATGGCATCCATTTGAGCTCGTAATGTAGTAACTGTATGCACAACGCCCTAGTTAATTTAAAATATATTTTACCGAAAAAGAAGCGAACTAATTAAAATTTACTTTTGGTTTGCCTGTTGTTCCAGATGTATATAAAATAAGAGCATCGTCGGTACTTTTAGAAAAAATGTCTAACTCTTGTTGATTGGGTAACTGGAAATATGTTTTTTTTTCATCTAATTGAACATCTTTATTTGTAAGTATAATTAATGGTATTTTAAATTTATCAGCAAGTGGTCGAAGTAATTTTTCATATTCCGGTGACACAATTAAATGTGAACATTTAGCATCATCAATATAATAATCAAGCAATGCTTGTGGATGATCTTTACAAAGTGGAATACATATTGCACGCGACAGCCAACATGTCCATTGAGCTACAACGAATGATGCATCTGGATTACAAAGAAAGGCGATACGTTTATGAGCAGATTTTTGTTTATCATCAGTTACAGAAAGAAGTTTATCACGTAATTGAACACTAGCTGCAAGAAGATGTGAATATGAATATCGACCATTTGAATCAATCACAGCAATTTTATTAGGGTTATCGAGTGCTGAACGATAAACAGTACGATAAGATAACGATAAAAGATTTTTTCGATTGACAAGATCACATAGACGTCGTCGTAGCATATTGAATTATATTTTGACGAACGAAATTAATAGTCAAAAAAAAGAAACTACACTGCTATCGATAAATATCTGAAACAGAATTTAATTTTCAAATAAATAAAACATCGAAGTGTTGTTTCGAATAACATAGCACACTTTAATAGTATACATGAAAACACATATGGATCGATCATATTTATTTTTATGTCAATCATTGATTATATTTTTTAATCTATAGCCTGTAATAGCAAATATTTTGAAAACCGTATATTTTGTATACATTTTCTAGGTGGTTTTGATTGGCTATTTCTTTTCATCCAATCCATCTCTCTTGATAAGCACAGTAGGTGGCGACGAAATATCAGGTTTTGTGATATATATAGTCTTGTTCTGACGAAAGATTTAAAAAAGACCTAAAACTTTTTACAAAACCCCGCAGTAATATATATGTTTTAATTAATACTTCTTTTGTTTACTTAAGAGCTGCTACCATGTAGGAAAATATAATTCATTCTTATGACACAGTTAGTAGTGTCAAACTTGAAACTTGGATTCAATTGAACGACTTCTCTTCAGTTTTCAATGAAAATGACGTCTCTGATATACCAGCTAATGTCTGTAGTATCCAACATGAGTAAAATTAGCACAATGTGGATAAAAAATTGAGAGACTTCACTTCTTTACATAAAACTGAACTGATCTAGTGAAAACAGCCAAAACCAAAAATAAATGAATTAAAAGATGTTATCTATGAAAAATATTTGCTTAATCATATATCTGTGTATCGCATGTGACTTACGATCTTTCATGAATAAGCACTGGGATCTTCAGCAATTCTATCTTCACTCATCCTTCCACCGTCGAATTCAAGTTAGCCATCTATTTTACGTTCGTTCAGTACAGGTTTCAACGGAGAAAGATATACTTTTAAACAATCATTTGTTTTCATCAACACATAGAATTGTAATATTATAAATTGCCAACCTTTCTTACTAGTGATACTGACGTGACGTAATATCTTACCATTTTATCTAAAATTTTATCGTATCTACTTCAACAGAAAAATATTTGGGTTGGAAACATAGAGAAGAAGCAGATATTGCCTTTTTATTTTGAGTTATCCAAAAATGTATGCGCTCTAGATCACTCCACACTTCTGTCTTTTCTTTTTTTAAAGTTACAGTAAACGGTGTGGTTCAAATTTCTCAACGCTCACTGTTGTTCTGCAAAAGTTTGTATAAGTTTCTATGTTGATTTTCCGAGGATTGCAAGCACCTTGGCTGAGTGTGATACCCAGCCAAAAATACCTTTTTGTGCTTTGATCATGTTCAATCCTGCTGTTTGAAATTCTGGACAGTAAGATCCCACGCAATCCTCAAGAACAAGACAATCATATCCACGATCGTTGGCTTCGCGAACAGTTGTATGAACGCATACTTCAGTGGTCACCCCAGTAATGATCAATTGCTTGATGTTTAGATTCTGCAGGATAACATGTAAGTCGGTTGCATAAAATGCACCTTTGCCTGGTTTATCAATTATCGATTCATTTGGTAACGGATAAAGTTCAGGAATAATATCGTGACCAGGCTCGCCTCGTACTAAAATCCGACCCATTGGGCCAACATCACCAATACAGATTCTATTTTGACCACGAATCTTCTTGGTCAGCGGTAGATCTCTCAAATCCGAGCGATGACCTTCACGAGTATGTATAACTAAAAGCCCAGCAGCTCGCCAAGTTGATAATAACGTACGGTTTGGTTCGATGGTTCGACGGAGCTGTGCAACGTCATTGCCGAGCATAGCACCAAAACCACCGTCTTCTAAGAAATCGCGTTGCATGTCGATAATCAGTAATGCGCATTGCTTTGGAAAAAATTCGAATGAGTAAGGCTCAGCTTCGATCATTGCACTATTGTCCATATTCATGGTGATTGAATTTTTAATATACAGTTGAGATAATGAATATAATATGATCTATCTAAAACTATATATTGAACATACACCATTCATTCTATCATTAATCCAACATACGTTATGGCGTGATACTCAAGAGAGGATCTAAAAGTAGAACTAGCAATATGAAAAGTATTGCGGGTATCACCAAGGAGTGAAAGCAGATATCGGAATTCAATAAAATCCATAGGATCTGGAGATCGAGGATCGGCTCATCTCCTTTTTATTCATCTCGAAAAATAGCTTTACGTAAGTGAATCTGGGTCCTTATGTTGAAGAAATAGAACGTTATAAACAATGGTTCTATACAAATGTTCGATCATCTTGAATACCCAGGTCGAACATTACGACGACCTGTCACGATCATAAACGGCCGCATACGGTAATGTGTACGATACAAGTTGATCGACCTGGGTGATTTTCATGAAATGGAAAATATGACTAGTACGTACACGGCTTATGAACGAAGATAATCGTCTTATTCATGTATTCTATTCATGATCGCTAGTAGACCTCAACTATATCGACCTATCGACTATACCCAGGGGAAACAATCAGATGTCAAGCTCTGATAAGATCCGACAAAAAAATCGTGGTGACTGAAATCTTAAGTCAAGCCATCAGATCAAATTCTTGAAAGATCTTACTGTGTCGTAAAATATAACTCTAAGATTATAGAAAATCTTATGAAATATTAAGATCTTACATCTGACTTTTTGACCTGGGTACTGAAAACATAAAAAATTGGGCGTTCTCATGCTGGTATGTCATAATATATAGTCGTAGTCTTCTTGCTTCCGTCAGAATCATCCGTATTATCAGATTTTTCTTTGTAGTTCAGAGCTTTCTAGAATGTGCTGAATCCAGTCACTAATGCAGAAGCCAACAGGAGATCAAATGAGTTGCTTTTATATACTTCATCCTACCGGTGATTTTGAATGCCGTAAAACTTATTACTTGCACGAGCTAGATTACGAGTATGAAATGAAATGTATACATGAATGTTGCGCAAGCTTTAATGTATCATAAGATTTGTAAGGTCATATAATTTAAAATGCATTTATCTATTTGTTTTTTGTGTTAACATGGTCAGTGGACCCCAACTATCTCGTGTTCTTGCCATACGTATCTTTAATAGAACAAGGATAAAAATAAAATAAACGCTACACATCGTTCACGTCAGTTTCTTAAGCGAGCATTTTATTCGTCCGTAGAGAGATACGTAAATGCTTTTTTCTCTAACGAAATTAGTGTTTATCTTTCTATCATATTACTTTGTGAATCGTATTCATAATCGTCTTAGACATGTATTCAAGTTATTGTTGTATTCCTTTTTTTCATGTTTGCTTTCAATATGTTTATGTATTCTATAATCGTCTAAATAAACCGATCTACTTTCTTTTGTGCTTTCTTCATGCGTATCTAAACAATATTATTCAATCCAGACAATGGTTATAGTTGTAATCGGTACTTGCACACTTATTTTATAAGATGGATAATATGACTCTTATTTGACATCAAACAACTCATAAAGTTATAAAAAAAATAAGTCAAACAAAATTTTATTTTGTGGTAGCACAAGGCAAACTAAATGTATGTGAAACTAATACTGATAAACAGAAAAAGGTAGCAGTGTTATATTATCATCGCCATTATCAAGGACGTGCATAAGAGCAGTCAAATGACATCACCATAACTACAGTAGAACATCGATGTAGCGTTATATGCAGAGAGCGTCCAAATTCCATTCGGCGATGTAACGATTCAATTCGAATGCAATCTATACATGATGTTTGGCCTTGCGGTGCCATTTCTTCTCACCTTACCTATTACCTTTATTTCTCTCTCTCTTTCCTTCTCTCAAATGATTCACTATTTAAGTGTGTGCTTTATATGTAATCGGCGTGATTGATTTTTGAAGAAGCGAATAAAATGTAATACCATCAGCACTAACATTCCTTCTATCAGAAATCGTCGCAATTGAAGTATTTATTCTAGCGAGCAAGCATCCGAAGAAGATGTCATCATTTAATAGTGACTCTCAACTATCTATATTCACATTGGGAACGATGAGTTTTGATCACGATGAGCAAGTGCTTGCAGTTTAGAGTATAAATAAAAAGAAGAAAAAGTTCCAGCTACTGTTTAGAGATTTTCTATCAATAAATACATAAGTACCACGTCGGAGATGAAATTTCTTTCGTCAAATCAACTAAATATGTGCCTATCACTTATTGTATTATACTTTGTGTAAATATACAATATTTACTAGTCGGCCAAATAGTGACTCTGTGACAGCTAGAATTGTTTCTAACTTTTAATTTATATTGTTCGAGTTACGTTGTGTATACTTTTAATAATAAGATGAAATAGCGAAATCTGACAATGTATTTAGTAAAAATCTATATATTGCTATGTTTTTACGCACTGGATTGATGATACCAGACTAACATGAGCGGCAACAATTTTCCAACCATTATCCATATCGGATATCGGTCCTAATCTAGCCCAAGTCTGCATTTGTCGTCCGTGTCGAGATGAATCGTTATCATCAGTGAACTCGGTGCTGACAGTTGCAAAATCAGTACCGAATGTTGTAATGATTGTATGATGAATCTGTCTTTGAGGCGATACCGGCTGACAATTAGCACGCCATGTGCATATGGCTGCTCCACCATGTTGAATATCGGCGATTCCATAGCGAACCGATTCTGGTGCACTCCAAAAGAGCGTATTCATGGTTCTGACATCATTGTCAATCAACGCCCGTTCGTACTCAGTAAAGACTGCTCTCACTTGTTCGACTACTTCAGATTTGTTTACTTGCAAAGCCATACGATAACGAATGCACAATAACTGCACTACTTTACAATGGGTTCTTATTGAAACAGATGCACTATCTATCACAAAAGTGTAGTCTCAAATTTCATCATTGCGCGATAAGACTATTTATTTACTACTGCCACTAAATGTAATAGCAATTCTATTTGTAGCTTGAAAATGGTAAGATAAAATTTTCAAACAACTATCACCTATGCAGCAAATCATCTTTTACAATAGGTAACCGATCTTTTTTACACGACTGTTAACAAGTAATTGTGACGATTTTCGATACAAGATATGCTTGCGCTGATGGAACTACGTTTTATTTAGCTTCTTCATATCACAAATCGCATTGTTTACATCCACAGCATGCGTTTATATACGCAGCCAAGAGAGAAGGAAAGATAGACATGGAAGATGATATATGTGTTCCGGCCAACAGAATAAGCAACAAGCTAATCTTCGTTAAAAACGCATGAACGACAGGATATATGTTGAAAAGGAAAAGTCAGAAGATAAAAAGTGATGCATGAACGCTCTCATCATAGAACGTCACAGTAGTACATCAGCAGTTAGAGTTCCAGCCGATACTGAAGGTAAACATTATTTGAGCAAAGGATATTGGCGAGTTTGAATTGAAACCGGCTCTATATAAAAATATCGATGTATTACACATAAGTTAACATAGCTCAAACACCATTTGTGCAAGAAAATGCGAAGACATTTTATTCTGCGGTGTTGAACATTGGAGAATCAGTTCATCCCACAGAACCAGTTACTACCAATTCCTAGGCACTCTTAGAATCGCATCCGATTCCGAAATTGAGTGATCATCGTGTTGTTGTCATCCAATGCATGTGAGTGTAGAAGAATAAAAACCATGCGTATCCATACATATCTGCACACACATCCTCACACTCAATATACTGTGAATACTGCGATTGCGAACTCATCATGATCATCATCATTCGAATTGTGTTCACTGCCCACCAATGTATCGCCACGCTCTTCTCCTATTTTACTTGCATCCACAGCAGTTTCACTATTACCATCTTCACCACCCAAGTAGACCTTAAAAAGCTAGCGAGTGGCGCGACGAGTATTCAAAACTCGAGACTATAAACTTTTTCGCGTTCTGTTTGAATTTCGAGCCCTTCAGAGGCAACAATTTATATCGTCAACTTGCTTTTGACTTTTTGCAGTTGTAGCGACCTTTCTCAATGAGATTTTCGATAGCTCCATTGAAATTCAATAGTTTGAAACGTCTTGAATATTCATTTTTATGATTATTAACTTTTATTTTATCATATCATAATGATATTGATTTTTTATAATTTCTTGATCTTGACTTAGGATAAAAGATTCACCTTTCATAGCCAGATCCCGAGGACGAGCATTACGATGAATTACGACGACTTACGGTTATAGTATACTATCACATGTTTGGCTGAACAATGTTCTAAGCCACCATATTGGTGTTTCTTTACGATCATATATCTGATCGTCTATTTGTTTTACTCTATTATCAGCACCTCCGTTAATAAAAAAATATCATGCTATATGTTTCACATGATTGTACCAATTCTCATATTTATTTTTCAACTATAATATCACATATACAAAAATGCAATTTTTCATGACAATCGAAAAAACAAATAGAAAAAAAAGTCCAGTCGAGTAATTCGTCAAAAGTCTGCTTGACTTCTTTGCTGTGTCTCATTTCGTTGTATTGATTATCGAGCTTCTTTAGTTGGTTCACGTCGACGTTCTTCGATTAAGAAATCAGTTAATTTTCTTCGTAAAAGTGCTTGATAAAATAAACCAAAATTTACTACATCCAATTTAAATGTATACCACAATGGATCTATTAAAGAACGAAAACTTTCAAGTCCGAAAAAACTTGAAAAAAATATACATACCCATACAAATTTTGAAGCGATCTTGATCAAGTGGCTGACGTCTAAAATGAGGTTTACCAGGTGGCAGTATCGAACTATTGAGTTCATCTTGAGAAAAAACTATTCGCAAAATTTTACAGGCATAATTTCCGTAATCGGTAGCCATCAAATCAAGTAAATTGTAATTGTTGAACATCTTAATAGAAACAAGAGAATGTAGCATACACACTGTAACGAATGAAAAATGTATGATTCCATTAGATATGATTTTTATGCGATTGGATTCGATCTACTTTTCCAAAACAATATCATTCAATTTGATTCAATAAAATCATTGACTAATCTTTATTCGACTTCATTCTATCTATTCTTAGAAAATCCGAATTCGACTAATTCCAAAAACATTCTCATTGTATTTGATGTTATAAACTTATCAAAAGTTTATTATCGAATTCGATGAACTGTTCAAAAGGAATCTCACTTCATTCGATTCCAATTTACTATGTAAATATTTTCATTTGATTTTTTCGGATAGACTAGGATAAATGTGGACTTTTTAGCAATTTTTTTGAAACATTTAGAACGAAAACATACACCTGAATATGAAAAATTATTTTTTGATCAAGTTGAAGATTCATCAGAAGTTGTTAATGGTAGTAATCATCGATCAACAACAGAATTATCATTAGGGGTGGGCCATTAACATTAATTTTATATTAATGTTAATGTTTCTCATTAACCATTAATATTAATGCTTAATGTTTTCTGAGAAAAACTTAATTCATTAATATTAATGATTGATGAAA